CTGTGTGTCAACAAATAAAACATCTGTCGATTTTGTCACTTACCTATACCGGTGTTTCTAAACGGAGGCCATGACGTATTTCTTGGGGACCACAAACGAAAGACGGAAGGTCACGAAAACTTTTCAGTGGGCCACAAAAGTGCAGTTCTTAAATATTAAAATTAAATAAATTCACCAAAAATCGTCAGTACAAAAATTATACCACAATAACCTCTTATCCTTGTTTGTGTTATCTAAAGCTACTAAAATTTCAAAAATTTCTCGGGGTGTAACCCTCCCCCCCCCCTCTCTAGATACACTAACTTATATACCAGCGTCCTTATTTTTAGCACATTTTTGCACATTTATTTGTAAAAAGGTAGCTCGTGGTCGTAGAAGATCGCTTATAGAAAGGCTATGGTGTATATTTATTTGCCCGTTACTCATCCTTTACAGTTGTGTTTTTACCGAAGACGCGTTCCTTTCGTTCTCTCCATGCAGGCGTCGTTTACCATCCATTTTGTTAACTTCAAATCTTGAGATTGATCTCTGAATAAACTAAAAAACATTAATCTGAATCATCAGTTACAAAAAATATCATCTTCATCTGAATCACCTTCCAAATTAATTATCAGTGAAGCTACACATCTTGTCGGCCAAACTTCACTTCTCTGATCTAAAATAATTATTTTTAAGTTGTTCATATGTTGGCATTACACTATTCCCCAAAAACAGTATTGATGACGTGCGCGCAAACTAAGGAAAATCCTACTGTATTAGTATTGTAAGTAGACTGTATACCTTCTAATTCTCCACGGCTCTACAACATTAGACATTTTTGGGGGTTCGTTAACTTGGCACCCCACTTAGAGATTTCATTGTTATATTATTATATAAACTATAAAGTGATGCGCTCGTTATGCGCGCGCATGCGCAACCGATAATAACTCTTGCGCCATTCTGGTTTTTTGGATATTATTTTTTGTACTACCTCGCACCGTTCATCATGCGTTCAAATGCGCCGTAAACAGAAATCTTGCGCCATTATAGTTTTGTAGCGAATATTCCAGTAATCTGGATAGACATTGAGACGCTTTATAGTAGTAGTAGGTATACACTATGTCCAAGATAAGAATGGCTATTATGGGAATTTCGGAAACTATAAAAGATACCACGAAAGATTTATTATCATGCTTTAAATAAATCCAGAAAATGCCCATTACTATCGCCAGAAAAACCAAAGTTTGCGCCGATTTCGTGTTAATTGTTTGATGTAATTTGATCAGATACAAAAAGTAAAAAAAAACTTTTCCATAACCAATTTTGGAGCCATACAACGTTTTGTTTCGGATCATCGTCAAACAAGTTTCATGAAAAATGAAAAATGTGTCCGATATCTATTTTTGCACGATTAGGGGTTGAAACTAACAGTTTGCAACTTTCGTTTTTTTGTGTACCTACCCTACATCGTTGTATTCGTAATAAAAATGCTACTCAATACAGTATGTACTTTTTACGGGTTATACAAAAAAAAATAAAGCTGATGGTGATACGTTGTATTGAAAATCTTTTAACGGTGTCTTGTAGAGCTCATATTTTATCTTTTTGTATCTGTTCAAATAACAAATCGCAAAAAAATAAAAAACAAAATCGGCATATTTCGAATATTCTGACATGTCTTCGGAAGTAATCGGAATTTTCTGGTTTTCTTTAAAGCATGATATAATAGAGCATGTTTTCTCTAATTTCACTATCAAATCTCGAGAGAAGGGGGGGGGGGGTTAACGAAACGAACTCTCCTCTTAATAATAAATAACTTTAACTTCACCGCATTCCCATTTGGATGAAAAAAGAGCGACAATGCGGCATAATGGCAAAATGCAATAACTCCGCACCAATCCAGATATATCACTGCTCTGTTAATTCTTGTGAGTTATTGTTGATTATTGCAAAACCGAATTAAAATTGCACAATTAGAACATAACTTCACCGCATACCCATATACAGGTTGTATCAAATTTCGTGTTTAGTATTAGGATCTCGCTTATTAGCATAGACAGAGAGTTGGTTCAATGGACAATAATCATCCTCGAGTTATACCTAAATAAAATCAAAACACAAAATTTACCCCCTCTCTAAGGTTTAATAAATATGGCGAAAAACAGCATAATTGACGTTTTTGATTTATGGCTTTAAAATCGTTATCGAACTTTTTATGTTCTTTTAAATGATGGAAATGAATTTTCGTTATCATTATTACTTTATTTTATATCGATACCAAATTTTGTTTTTCATATGGGAGCCATTTTAAAGTTTTAGGTGATCTAATAAAGAAAAAACCCTGATTTCAAAAATGTACATAACATGTTAATTTAAAAATCCCAAAAAAGTTTAAAATCTAAAAAAAACATTTTGAATCACATTTTAGTCAATTTGCACATTTATTATAGTTAAGTTCGGATTTTTATTAAAGAAATTCGATTGTTCATGCATATTGCCTGATTTCAAAAATGTATAACATGTTTATAAAAACATAGAAAACAGATACTATACTATAATAAATATTCAAATTGACTAAAATCTCACACAGGTGTTTTTTTTTTGGTTTTTTTATAAACGTGCTACCAAGTCTCTAATATAAGAAAAACGGCGGGGCAATGGTAAGGCTAGGAGTTCAATGAGTGGGTGAAGCTGCCTTGCCGCTGAAGCTGAAGTCAAAGCAATGCTCTCTTTACGTATATGTGAGCGAGACGAGGCGGCGACGCCATCCCCGAGCAGGGCGAATTACCATTGCAGTATATAATAAGCTACAGATGCGTTCAATTTTTTCGTATTTCGTATTTTCTTGAAACTGAGCTTAAGAATGAGATATGTAATAGTTATTTATTATACAATACGATAAAAGGATATTTTAACCATTGAGTGAATTAACTTTCACGAGATGATTAGTTTCCCTTTATCGTCGTATATAACACAAAACTTTATTTTATAGCAGAAGCCATATAAATCATTGTAAAACTTCTGACAATTCTGAATTTAATTTAGAAACGTCAAAAATAGCAAGTAGGTTCTTCCGTCGCGATCGTTGCATTAGAAACAGAATTGTCATATGTTCTGGACGTCATTTTATATCGTGCATTTGAAATAAGAATGACAGATGTCATTAGAATTCACACTCATCTGTTTAACTTTATCTATCCTTACGGTTAAAGAACGGCCTTGACTCATTCAAACCTATTAAATAGTTATTTGTGTACCAAGGCCGTAAAAGTGATCTTTTTTGGCCGAAGCTGCTGTTTGTGGCCGAGGCGGTAGCCGAGGCCGCAATTCAGATGAGGCCTAACAAATCACTTTTACGGTTCATTGCTGGTGATTCTTCGTATAATAATGTAAGCAATAACATCTTACTTATGTTTTGGTTCTACACTTCAAAAAGGTCTGCAAGCAGCAAAGATTGAAACGTCAAACTATAATTTTAAATGTGAACATTGTGATTATGAAAAATAGTGTGAAACATTCCTACAAGTCCGAAAATGAAAAAAACGCACGTGGATGGCCCAATCCTTGATGGGGCGAGACCAGATAGACGCCTTGTATCAAACAGATTACTGTTTCTCGCACATCAGTTTCAATAATAAGTACAGTTTGACAGATGTGTACAATAAAGTAAAGTTTGACAGAAGCGTACAATAAAGTGAAACTTTATGGCCGCAAAAGCGACCATAAAATCAACGTTTTTGTGATGATAGCCTAAAATAGTTATTTGTGTACCAAGGCCGTAAAAGTGATCTTTTTTGGCCGAAGCTGCTGTTTGTGGCCGAGGCGGTAGCCGAGGCCGCAATTCAGATGAGGCCTAACAAATCACTTTTGGCCATGCACAGGTGCACACAACATTTTTTAGGCGATCATCAAAAAAGAATTCAAAAATTTGCTCATAAACATATTTTTTCTGAAAATCATAGTTATCTTAGACAATTAAAAACAAAGCATTTTCTGTCATATGTAATAAATTATAATTAGCATCTTTGCTTTGATTACCTACTTTGATGGTAGGTATAGGTAGCTACTTGTGTTTTCGGTTAATTGCTGGTGATTCTTCGTGTAATAATGTAAGCAATAACATCTTCCTCATGTTTTGGTTCTATACTTCAAAAAGGTCTGCAAGCAGCAAAGATTGAAACGTCAAACTATAATTTTAAATGTGAACATTGTGATTATGCAAAATGGTGTGAAACATTCCTACAAGTACGAAAATGAAAAAAAACGCACGTGGATGGCCCAATCCTTGATGGGGCTAGACCAGATAGACGCTTTGTATCAAACAGATCACTGTTTCTCAAACATCAGTTTCAAATAAGTACAGTTTGACAGATGTGTACAATAAAGTAAAGTTTGACAGAAGCGTACAATAAAGTGAAACTTTATGGCCGCAAAAGCAACCATAAAATCAACGATTTTGTGATGATAGCCTAAAAATGTCATTTTAACATATGCTATAAAATAAAATTCCCTTTTAAGGACTTTTTCACTTTAGTAAGTTAAAATTGAAGACAATGTTCGTAAACATAAAATAATTTTCAGCAATGGGCACAAACCTGATGTAACGTTTGTGAATGACTTTTAAGTGAAACGTTAACTTTTAAATCACTTTATTACCAGATTTTCTTTTTAATTACTCAAAATAAAAATTGCGTACTTACCGACACCCGACAAAATAATGTTTACAATATTTATAAAAATTGTTGTGCGTTAGTTGTTTCATAGATAAATGTTTATCTAAGTGCGCTTCCTACCTAAAATCAATCACACCATTCGTACCGTACCAACGCTTCCTCAATTTCCGAAATAACGGTTAGAAGTCTCGGTATCTAATAAAACTAATGCAAGAGTCGAAAATAATTCATTTGCCTCTTGTACGCCAGTAGTTGTAGCGAAATGTAATGTGTCAATTATTTCCACCCTTACTTGCTATTAAAAATTGATACTTATAGTGAAGTGAAATTTTTATACTCTCATGACAATTAACTAAAATTATATAAAATTCGGTTTATTGATGATTACGGCTCATATATTTGGCCGATCATAAAATAATTAAAATATTAGGTAACTTTCCGTGTTTGTTTAGTGGCTATTTGTTCGGAGTGAAACGCTTTTTAAAGCTACTTCGCTATAAGTCAAGTTTCACTTATTTGCTTAAGCACAACCCAAATACACGTCCGTAGTTAGAAACCCGCGATCTTAATAATATGGTGATCGCATTATTGATAATATGGAGTGGTGTGGTTTTATTTTGGTATTGGTATAATCGACGGCACTTAGTGAAATTGGGGAGTCAAATTCCTGGACCAGTCGCGTACCCCCTTATCGGCAATGGATTAACGTTTTGGGGCAAACCAGAAGGTTAGTGTTTTAATAGATTTTCGTAAATTTTTCATTTTTAATGTGGCCTTTTAATTTGAGTAGTATAGTAGTGTGATATTGTTGATATTCGTATGCCCGTTCTGTGAATCTTATCATCATCCCTAATAGTGGAACCAAGCTCAAAGTTAGCATACCTTTCATGCACCCATATTTTATGAGTTTTTAATATCGTTCTCAAATGGGAACATAGGTTTTGAACAACGCCAAATCATTCCTTATCCCCCAATTTCTACGCAAAAACGCCCAATCTTACCAGGATTCTTTTATAATTGACAATATTTATGAAGATGGTAATCAGCCACCTTCATTTTAGACAAGAACTGTTGTAAAAATTGAGGCTTTGCTACAATTAGGTACCTACGCAAGAATTTATTTGGGAAGTTTAGAAGTGGCCTTCGATCATAGTGTATGATTAATATCTAGTTGTTTTATTGCACTTCCGCGATTTTATGTGATTTTATACAGGGTGGTCTTTTTCCCAGTTTACCATGCTATTTGAATTATCCTACGAGTGGACCTTTCTTGTGCAAATATATCTGTTTTACGGTTTTGAGGTAAGCACTATAATCATTTAGAGGGACTTATGCTTAGTATAAGATTTTGTTGTTATGGTTTCCAAATCATTTTCGTATGCTATTTAAGATGATGTTATAAAGATGAAAAATAGTGATGACTAAGGTTGTTTGTAACATAATATCTCCCCACCCCAAAAATGACGCCACTAAATGGGGATTCTGTTTTCCGGAGCTCGGATATGACGATTCCAATTTCCAAACTCGTTTTTTTTTAATTTGAAAACAAATTGTTTAAATTTACTTGGTGTGACATTACCCAAATTTGAAACTATTCCGCCTTAAAAGGTAGCCTCATGGTCACTCACTTTTTGATAACTTCGGCGACGAGAGTTGCATTAAATTTATTAAAGATCCACCAGGTTATCGAGAACGTCCAATCGTGGAGTCACATTTATTATGAAAATCCCACAAATATGAAATTTAAACGAAATTGCAACTTCATTGGCACACCGGATTTGGAGTGTGTCACTCCGAGCTACATTTTAACAAAAGCAAAATAGACATAACCGGTACAGCCGTTCATTTCATTTTTCAATATGTTATGGGTTTCTGAAAAGAAAATGAAACAGGAATATACTCGTATACCTATTCACCAACAAGAAAAGTGAAAACTCCCTCCCAGTAAATTGGACCCAAATCATTTGCCGCTTTGTAGTTTCGCTACTGGAGGGTTCGTTCCCGAGATGTTCAGCCTTGGAAGATTCGCTCCCGAATCTTCTTTTTAGTGCATTTTCACTTTCAAGAAATAAAAAGTAAAAATAAGTAAAACCTTGCGCTCTTGATGTCTGTCTGTGTGTCCACTTACAGACTTGGTATTGGTGTCATTCGATCAGAAATTAAAAATTATTTCATGTTTGTGTTCTCGTTAAGACATGAAATGTCTATAAGGGCCACTAAAATCGAAAAAACAAATTTGAAAGTGGACTCTTCGCCTCTTGCTCACAAGCGACTTAACGCTTTTTTTAGAAAATTTTCCCGTGTACGATTCACCCCCGAAAGGTCCATCCCCAAAATTCTCCCACAAAATATCCGCTCCGGAGATTTTCTTCTTCTTTCTTCTTAAAACCTCCATGGAAAATTTACGTTAAGAAAAGTCTGTGAAATACTTGTTATGCACCCAATTTTAATGTTCACTTTTGTTTCTGTCGCAAAACTTGCCCCGGTATATTCGCTCACAGAAAATTCGCCGTTGAGAAAATTTGCGCCTCCGGCAGAAGATTTGCTCGTAATTTACTTTTTAAAAAATTCATCCCATACAAATCTCCTACAAATAAACAACGACTCGTGGTCATTGTTATAGCAAAATTGTGTGACGTGAGGCGGCGCAGCCGGCGAAACCGGGCTTATGCCTCCTCCGGAAGCGGTACGTTTTGGGGAGGTGAGGGGGTACGAAGTTCGCCGTGTCTGCTAGTTAGTAGGTAATAAATCCTTGTAACGATATAATAGGTTATTATTCTTGGGATTAAGATTTTTCCGTAAACTTTAAAGAGTGGATAATTACACCTATACTTTTTTTCCCCGAAACTTCGTTTTCGAGATATCTCCATCGACGCGACCGACGGATGCATAGCTTAAGTTTTCACTACTCTACATACGTCATCCATTTCCGACGTTTTCCTATTAAAATTTGCAAACGATTGCAGTAACGATTTTGACTCGGATTTTGACATCTTTTGATCTTTTTTTTGCGACTAAGTTATCCTTTGAAGTAAAATAAAATGATCATCAGTTAGTACCAACTTCATAATTTTTTTGATTTGCGGGAAATTCAAATTGTCCTCACTTCTAATGAATCACCCGGTATATATGTATTTGAGCTCTCTGTAAACAGATCTATTTCACGAAACCCATTTTGCTATACAATGACAATGAAATAATTTCGACTCTGGCCTTTGACCCCGTACGAGGGAACCTTAAAATTGAGTACATAGCACCTGCTAAGGACGTCAAGCTTTTGGGTTAGTTTCAGGCAAAATACTTGTGAACGTGTAGACCAGCGTTATTTTATCGCTGTTTTGACGAAAACACACGTTTTGAAGCACCAGGAATCCAAATCAAACAAAATCTCGATGACGTCGGTCTGTCGGTGCGTCTATACTGTCATTTTCGGATAAACGGGGGAACCGATTGGACCCAAATTTGGTGCACATATTCTTAGATATAAAAGGCCAAAATCGTACATTCTTAGATGTTCGGGTGAAATTGTTATAATTTCTCCTCATACACATCCGGCATCTGCTACAAAGAAGAATCCTAATACTGACTTAAAATTTCTCAGTTTGAGAGACTCGGTGGCTTCGACCAATTTCCGACAATTCCAAAGAATTGATTACACATATCTTTATTAGCACCTGAAATAAATCTTGAACAGGAATACCTAAAAAAATCTGACATGAAAACTCTCTCTGGGTCGCACAAAGGATTCGTGTAAACACACAATAAATTGATTAACAATGAAAAAAATTTATCCCGAAACACGTAAAAAATTAAAACGAATCTCTGAAAGAAAGAAAAGCTTACAAAACTTGTTTAGACATAATACTCCGCACGCACGCGGTCGATAATTAAAAAAATCTTAAATTACTTACATTTTTTTTCTATAATAATCCAAATAATCTGTCGGAAAAAGGTTTGCAATATTCACGCGCACTTATCAACGACTCAAAAACACTTACTGACAGCTTCAGGAAACTTCACTTCTGCTTTGATATACTCAACTTAATGACTCGAACTAATCTTTTAGAAAAGTTTTACTAAGCTGATAACTGCTTTGTTTACTCACATTCCAACTAACTTTTTCTGAATACGGACAGAGGGTTGTAAAATCTTTTCACAAACTTTTACTATTTCACTAAAATAACTTAAATCATTTATTAAGATTGCTTCTTCTGAACTCTTTATTTCGAAACGGGCGAATTTCGTTTCCGGAACATTCGCACATGCAATAGTCGGCACGGAAAATTCGTCCCCGTATAAGATTCGCCCCAGGAAGATTTAACTCGTTCCTGTATAGTATACTCGCGGAAATTTGTCATTTCAGAGTTTAAATATTCGTCCAAGACTAATTCGAAAACACACTTTCGGTATTATCAATCAAAACCAAATTAGCACTAATGATGGTCGTATGCTCCGTCAAATTTAATTACGGAGCCATTTAAACTTCATGGCAACAATAAATTGTAGGAAAATTGCCTAAATTCGTAATTGAGCCTATAGAGTACACATGTAACAAACGATTTACTGTGGCTAGCACAGATACTGCGACGAACTTGGGCTGCTCGCGCATAGCTGGAGAGCTTGAGGAATTAAAACCAATTAATTCAATTATTATTGGAATCTAATTTAATTAAGTATAATAATACACAAGGTATAGTAATTTATCAAGCGGTAGTCGGCGGTATAAAACGGCGAACCGGCGGTACAGGGACCGGACGAACGGACAGACTCGAGCGCCACCAGACGAAAATCTCGCGCCTGGACAAGGTCGGCGGTAACCACGGAAGGACAGGTTGGTCTCAGTAGTCTCGTAGTCTCAATCGAAGATGTTAATTCCAGGAATTCTGTGATCAGGTCCAGCAAATGGTGGCGTGGCGGTCACTTCGGTAACCCTAAAACAAAGTTACGGCTCAACTGGCAAATTTCCTAGCGGAAAAAAACAAATAACGGTAAAAATGCGAAAGCAAAACGGCAAAAGGATCGGTACGGTACGGTTGCAAATATTATCGGCAAAAGGCGTAACTTACGGCAATCAAAAAAGCAAAAGATTTAAATTACTTACAGCACCCTAAAATGGCAAAAGATCCCCAAAAAATTAAGCGTTTACGTTATAAAAAAATGCGAATTTGATTTGAGATGGCACAGGGGAAATCCAACTCGTCGCGTATTCAATACGAAATCCAAAAAAATCAATTCGATTTTTAGTTAATTACTCGGCTCCTGTTCGTGCTAAAATTCATCTGGCAATCGATTCTTTAATTAAGCGCAAACAATTTGACACCAAAATCTCCTCGGTAGGTCCTCCTTTACTGTAACTCATTTAATTAGTTCATACATACACAAAAGACTAAAAATGGAAGCTCATGAACTCTTTACCTTAATCTTTATGTTAATTGCATGTTTTCGGATACAGAGCCGACTGGCGCTTATCAAATTTTTGCAGGCAGGCGCCAACTGATAACGAGCAAAACCACTCGCTTCGAAACTTGTTTTATCCTTGCTTTAACTGATTTATGGGGACCTAAAACGGCATATAAACAATTAACGGCGCTGAAACCAAAAAATATCCTTCATCTTCGCCATGACAAGACCCTTCGATAGTTACAAAAATTATTCTAAAATTCCAACAGGAACGGGCATAGGCGGACTAATTAATTACGGCATCTCCTTGTCTCAATGGCACCGCGGAAAGTTCTCGAAATTAAGGTTTTCTATGTAACGAAGCCCAAACCAATCGTTACTATAAGGGTGGTCCTCGTAAACGGCAAACTCATGCAGAAATTCCGGGTGCTTCGTTACAATACCACCCACACGCCTGCGCATGCGCGTCCTGCTTAAAAGCTTTTCAGCTCTTTCTTTAGTGTCTAAGAATGTGTGTACCAAATCAATCGTTTTAGCGGTTTAAATAATAATAATTCTTTATTGTCCCAACAGATATAAACATCCTCGTAAAATCCAAAAAAAAGGACAAAATTATACATATAGCTATAGTTCAAGCGAGTTCAATACATATAAGTAAACGTTGTTAACCATGAAAGAAAAGTAAAGTGATTTGCTGCAAGTAGACATAAACAAAATTAGATTTGAATAAACATGAATAATATCCAAAAATGATAATTAATTATTGCATTTAACGACAACTTAAGAAAAACAACAATTCTTTGGCCGTGAGGCTACATAAATGATGCGGAAAATTTAAATGAACATGAACAATATAATACAAAAAGAATAATTAATTTATTTATTGCACTTAACAATAGCTTTAAGTTAGTATTAAAAATATCAATAACATTTGCAACTTTATTATACATGTTATAAAAATTTTTATTTTTCATAGTGGGAAATGAGATTATAATAATCCTTGCATTTATTCCTTTCGGATAAATCTCAGCGTTACAAATCAGCAAAACAGCGCGTTCGTTAGTGGGCTCGACTATTTCCCGTCATTTTCAACGTCTCGTCGTTCTTTCCGCTGATGGGATTTATTCATTTCGTGTTCGAAGTCATACGGCGCAAGGGTGGAAGTGCGTGAGAAGCGAGTTGACATGGTTTGAAGTATGAGGCTGAGGTATGGCAGACGAAAACGAAACACAGGAAACTGAATTTCATGAAGACAGAAATTAAACAAGTAAAAACGCCCTAAGGCGAGTAACTCAGCTCATTTTCCATGCATTGATCAGTACTTTCCAAAAGGCAATAGCTATGTGCGCTGTTTTTCTTTACTAGATGCATCTATGGTTAACGTTTCAAAGAAATATCTCCATAAATAAGAAAGTTGGCATACGCACATCTGATTTTTACTATATGCGGACGGGCAGACGGACAGAGAAAGTGCCTGCAATAGCGAACCAAACTTCGTTGGAAAATGCGCTAACAAAAATCGCTCAAAAAGGCATTTGAAAACAGTTCAATGAAGGGTACAGGTCCTATCCAACTTTATGGGGGATGAAAGATAAAGATGTCTAGATAATTCTTAGTCATGTGCTTCACGTGTTCCCAACTGTTCCTTCGAGGTCTCGGCCCCTGGGCCACCTAGAGACTTCCGGTTTTCGCTAATTGATAACTGCTATAGTCTACATTTGCCCGTTACTTATCATTTACAGTTGCGGTACGCGGCAACACCTACGAGTGGTTTTTGAAACCTTTTTAATTCTTTTGAACAAAACATAACAAACTACTATGGCAAAGGCACCACTACCTTCTTTCTTCTATCTTCCATCTTCCATGACAAAATGACCCTGCAAACATAAGTAGATAAGGTTACGGCGCCAAGCTAACTACAACTAGACTTTTCAAGACAGGATAATAATCCGTTGGTATAAATGAAGATGACGAGCCTACATGGAAAGTGTCGTGAAAAATGATTATTTAGCCCACTAACCAACGCGCATTCTTGTAAGACATACTTTTACTGGAAAAGACGCGATTAAACACATTTTGCGTTAGTGGGCAACGAACATCTTATTTTCCCCACGAAAAATGGAGAGGACAGTCTCACAGGAAAAACCGATAGGAAAGATGACAGTAAAAATTTTGTGTTAGTGGTTGAGAACAGTTTTATAATCCTTTAAGATTTCGAAAAGAAAGAATGTACGAGGAAAGAATGACAAAAATGAACGCTCGTGTGTGGCTAGCTATTGTATATTGGAAATGCATTATTTGGAACGATGCACCTCAGACATTACTCGATATTTAACCCTCGGGCGACTTACAATCCCCTGGGCCGGAGGCCCTCGGGCTCTGTCGCCGTCGGCATAAATATCGTCTTAATGCCCTTGATGCATAAAGAAATATAGAGAGTGTGCAATTTAATTTTCAACATTATGATCCTCTTCCTGTCAAACTGGAAGTGATAGGAAAACGCTATTTCGAGCACCCAATTTAGTTTTGCTCGTAAGATAACCAATTTTATACGCATGGGTACCGACAATTCCGCCAAAGTTACAGGGATGTGTCTAATTTGGGATAATTACTGGCCCTATATCATTGCCAAATTTTTGACAGATAGCACTAAAGCGTGGAGACTTTATAATGAGAGATTTTTCGAGATGAATAAAAAATGGTGACATTGCGACTTTTTCAGTGGGTCCAATGCAATTTCATTCCCAAGTCGCCAGTAACAGATTTTAGAAGAATATTGGCGTGCTAGGGGAACTCTCGGTTTAGAATAAATTGGAATATTGTAGTAAAATATCTCTACCGTTCATCATGGGGTTTGGTTCTGGAGTAAGTTTTACAGTAAACCGTTGGCCATTTAGCAATTTTAGAATTATATGTTGATGTTATTGCAAAAGCACGATTGCCTGAAGTGTTTCAGTCAATTGCTACTAATAAACCTGTTTAAATTTCAGAAGTGTTTAAAAAACTTCGAGAAATATTTACCATGTACTCGAGACTGGTGGCAATTTGGTTGGGTCCGAAGTTACACGTAGCCCTCTTCGACGCTAATGATGTCGAAGTGGTTCTTAAATCGAAGGCGGTTGAAAAGGCCGAGGAATATAAGTTCCTAAAGCCGTGGCTGGGCGACAGTCTTTTGATAAGTACAGGTAATAATTCGGTTAACTTTCTACGCGAGTTTAAACATCCTCGATATTCAGGAAGTAAGTTTAAACGTAACAAGAAGCTGATAATGCCGTCCTTCCATGTTAATAATTTAAAACGATTTTTGGACGTTTTCAATGATCACGCACTGGTGCTGGTGGAATCGTTACGTGAAAAAGTTGGCGAAGGCGAATTCGACATACAATCTTATTTGAGTACATGCACAATCAACGTTCTACTAGGTAATTGTTATATAACAGATTTCCTTTTCATTGCCGTATTATAAACGTTTACGGCCACTTATAGCTAATAAACATGCATGATTTTTTACATTTTTTAATAATTGCGTATTTTATAATAATGCAATTATTGTTTACTAAAGACCTCGTCTGTTTGCAGAAACTGTAATGGGCATTAACAAAGAAACCCTGGGAGACCAAGCCACCAAATATTCACATTATGTTCACAAGTAAGTATGCGCGAATGTTCCTCACCCTCGTAACACCACTCTCTGCAGGCTATCAGGTTTGGCCCACATGAGGGTGTATAAATTTTGGTTGCGTCCCGATATCATATTTCGATTTTCTAAAGTAAGAAGAGAGCAAGATAAATACATAGAGATAATTCACGGATTAACTGAAAAAGTAATACAGGAACGCAAGAAGAGATGGTACGAATCGAAATTGCGAGATGATGAAGGAGAAGAAAAATGGACGGTGTTTATGGATAGCTTATTAGGAGCAAAAGATGAAAACGGAGTTGGATTAACGGACGAAGATATAAAGGCCGAAGTAATGACCATGATGTTCGCCGTAAGTACATTTGGATTTAATTTAACGCAAATTGCGTTTATTATTTATCTTGAACTTCATTTCGAGGAGGATACAATTGTTCTAATGAGCGGCACGTCCTACTTCCCTCTTCATTATGCTGAAAATCGATTTAAAGCGAGTTAGATTCGCATAATAAATAAATAATAATGAACATTTGTTCGTACTTCACAACGTAATAGAAAAATCGCCAACTACGTCTCGAAATGAATGAAGTTATCATGAACTGAAGCAACGTAATTAAACGGTACCGTCCATCATCGACTTGACATGAATTGGGAGGCGTTTCTAATTGAATTGCCTTAAATGTTTATATAAAATTAATTAAAATACAAAAATATAATTGAAACGCGACCTACTTTCCGCAAATTGTACACCTAATGGAAACTAATAATCAAAACGGTACCTACACATCGAAAATGGAAGCATGACAATAGCTTCAGAAGTTATCAATTTTAGTGGAATGACCGTATTTGCCATTTTTTAAAGATTATTAACCTAGTTTCATAAAGCTCGCACGTAACGATATTTCTGATTTATGGTAATTTGCTTCTCACGTGAAAACCTTTAAGTGACATTTTATAAAAGTTTGAAGTGGCTCTTCTGCAAATGTCATTTGAAGTGATGAACGACCGTCACTATACATCTTAGAAAACGTTCATACAGTTATGGGTACTACATGACTGCTACTCTTAAGTACTTTTTAAGAAGGATCCTAATTAAGGTAATACTGTAATTTGCAAAATTCGAATACAAAGTTAAAAGGTTGTATTTCAAATTCCACGCATTCACCTACCTAGCACAATTTTATTGTATATACACGCTGATTCAAATTCGAGGGCCACCATGGGGATCTCAGGAACTGTAAGAGATAGGTAAGTAGTTTAAATTTTGCAAAGTTGCGTACTTTGATGCTTCGCAAAATGCCGTTTTGAAACTGAAAAAATTCTTACTACTTTCGGAGATCTTGAAATACACGAAATTGTGCAAAATCGTTTTTATTTTTTCCCGAAGTTATTTAAAAAGATATTTCAAAATAAATTACACACAATTATGGCCACTTGTTTCCCTCTACAAGATGCTAGTTTTAAATTTCTCCGGTCTCCGGTTAACCATCATTTTTGTTTTTTCTGGATAGTCATTTTTACTTTTTGTGTCATTTTGATAGAACTTTTTTCTGATTTCAAAAATGTAAATATCACTATTTTATTATTATTATGTACTCAGTTCTAGAGCTCTGTAACAAACCATTATATCTTCGCTTTCCGCCAACATTTACATCTTAGAGTTGGGTAGATAGTTACTTCAAGAACAAGTTTTCGTTTCGTCCCGTTCCAAATTTCCCAAACATGACTCTTGGACGAAGGTATTTCGTTGGGGATGAATTTTTCGGAGCCAAGTATTCATGGTACGAATCCGTAGACGAATAGTCTGTGAGGCAAGTCTTCTGCGGCGCCAATATTACGGAAACGATTTTGCAGGGGCGAGTCTCTTGTGGTGAATTTACGGCAGACGCTATGCAACAAATCCTTCGCCAAATAAAGACGATCTGGCGCGAGTGTATTGTAGGTTGCCTATCGTCAGGCGTTCTTGTACATCCAACGTTCTAGTCCAGGGATGGGAAAATGGCGGCCCGCGACATGGTTCGATCCGGCCCGCATTTGTATTTTAATCCCCACTGTGGATGGCAAGTTGACAAGGGCCGCCAGTATCACATTATACACATATGATCTCCCGCACCTTTTGTACTAATGCCACCAAGAAAAAGAAAAACTTGACAGGGAGAGAAAGGGATTTACAAATATTTTCTTCCCCATTCGCTGTAAATTTTGAGGAGATTGCAGCAGACTATCAACATGAAATAATTGAGCTACAATGTGACGAAACGTTGAAACAATTTTTTAACAGTTCAACTAAACTTGAGTTCAAAACTTTATCGAAAAATAAATTTCCCAATCTAATTAAGCACACTTAGAAAATTATTTTTATGTTTGGGTTTCCATACAGTATGTCCCTGGTTTGGTGTTACAAGAGGTGTTGTTGGACTAAAAAATTTTGAATAGTAATAAAAAGTTGAATTGTTGTATGGAGTCATAAATTGCTCATGCTGAACAACTTTTCTTAGTAACATTTCGTATCATGAACAAAAAGTGCAGCTTACCTGAAAACAAAAGAGTTTTGCGCTGTATAAAGGCCGGCTTGATCTTTACAAACCCAAAATATTCTTAAAATTGTATTCACACCAAGCAAGGCTTTTTCTCATAGTCTCAAAATAAAATTCAAAAATTTTTGGACCATGGACACATTGTATATCAGTGAGTAGAATCTTCATTTCTGAAACTTCGTAAAAATAAGGGACAAGATGACTAACAATCATCTTCAGAGTGTTTTGCAAATTTCTTCCACTAATTTGGAGCCAAATATAATTAATGAACAGTCGAAATTTCATTTGCCACACCAGTCCGGCACATCAACCAATAATTTTTGTCAGTTTGGTTTTTTGTTATGTAGGTATAATAAATTGTCTTTGGCCCGCCTGAATGCTGTAATTATTTTATGTGGCCCTCTTTTAAATCTATTTCCCCATCCCTGTAATCTAGTCCAACATATGGTCCAACCGAATAAATTCATTTCAGGTTTTTAGCGTATACACAACGAAGTTGAGGTAACACTTATGTCAATGTGCTTTTCCATTGAGTGTTTTTATTCAATGATTTTATGTTGTCTGTCTCTAAGTCGTCTGTCTGTTCCATCGAGATCTCGTTCCCTGAAGCACCTACCTAGAGACGTTGGGTTTTCGCTAAGTGATAGATGCTATGATCTTATTTTTAGCGCATTTTTTAAGAATTAAAAAAAATGTGCTATTGTTTTTTGTTTTGTCCGTCCGTCCGTCCGGACCCACTTCTACCGTTTTGAACTACTTCTAGGGGAATGGTCCTAGAGTCCTGGAATTTTTTGCAGTAGGTAGCCTACACCTTGAAGGTGTGCCAGAGGGCCATCAAATTTCGCTGTCTAAAAGCCCCCCCCCCCCACGAATTATTTCCTGAGATGCTGTTTTTGAAAGTAAAACGTGCATAACTTTTACATACGATAACCAATTGGTATCAGATTTTGCATACGCATGCCTCTCTCATTGTATTCTAATTAAAGATATCAAATTTGATACATAGCCACTTGGAATAAAACCAAATTTAACGCCAGTTTCAAAATTTCGTTTTGCGCATACGCCGAGACAACTTTCTTATTTATGGAGGGATTTAAATGAAATTTGATACATATCCACTTGGAATCAAAGCAAATGTAGCGCCATTTTCCAAATTTGGTTTTGTGTAGGATGTGCAGTGCCAACTTTCTTATTATTATGGGAGAAATTTCGTAGGGGTGTTTAAAAAAAATGCGCTTTACCTGCACAAGGGTTGTGCACAATTTGTACTTCTTTCGTTACTCATCATTTACAGTTGTGTTACGCTGCAACACCCCCGGGTGGGTTTTGAAACATTTTTTATTATTATTTGTTTCTTTTTTTGAAAACTCTAGTCATTTCTTGGATTTTATTAGGAAATAATATGTTTGCCTGCTTGTATCCAAATTTCCATTTGTTCTTAAGATTTGTTACAATATACATTATGACCAAAAAAATTGCGATGCGTTAGACTTCATTTCTTTCATAAATTTGAGAAATTATTGATAACATTTTATTTACGTAAAAAGACAAATGTTTTTAATGCTACGGCAAAAATAGTGGTTTTTGAATCTGTTGCAAATTTGGACAAGCCGAGTAGTGGGTGAAAATAAAACAATTACCTACCTACATTCTTGTTTTTGAAGTCGTTTTCAGTGAGGAATACACAGCAATATGTTAACGCCACCCGATATTGATGTCTTTAAAAAGTGTGGTTCGATCAAAGAGTAGTTATGGTTACTCTTTGGTTCGATTCTAGCAAACTACAGTTCGAAAGGTAATCGTAGCTGATTTACTATTGCAACACGTTGCCAGCAAATAGGTCAAGTGATTGCATTTTCAACTTTATATGATGGAAACGCTGACCGCAAATATCTATAAGTAGATACTTTTTAACACGATTGGTGAAAAGCCTTATCCTAACAAAACGACTTCATCTGTGAGTAAATACCACTAAAATTGAGTTTTCAGGGTCAAGATACAACCACCACCACTCTAGGATTCACTCTTAGCCTTCTTGGAATTTATCAGGATATACAGGTTTGTTTCCCATAGTTTGTAACATTGTAACAAGTATTATAAAACAACACACAACCGTTTTCAACTCTCCCCCGCCTCTTCCTAAAGATGGTAGTGATCATTTTATTATCAAATAACAAACACACCGATGTTGTCGGGAGCGTATGGATGCCATTATGTATTTACTATACACTATACAGGGTATCCCAGATCGAGTGGGATTGCATGGGTTACTTTGTTATTCTAAAAAATAAAAAAAAGATTAAATAGATAGTTTCATGTGCCGATTAAAATTCCATTCCAGAAGATGTGAAAATTCTACTTTGATTAAATGTTTCAAAAACAAAACTGAAAAACACAAATATCCAAAAAAATGTAATATCTATTTAATTATAAAAATTATGACGACGAGATTGATATAATTCACAATACTCACTTTTTCGAACGGTCATTTATTTATCAGTTTACTACCTGCTACAATAGATATTTTAATATATTCAAAAATTCTCCTTCGTTATCGTCTTTTAAAAAAAACATGAAGTGTAGGTTATTAAGTGAGCAATCATATTAGATTTGTAAAAAAAATTTTATTTTATTTTATATGTATGTGTATAACGTGTGAATGATGCACTAGGTTGAGTTATTATTATTATTATTTTATAAAAGTTTGTCACTTTGATGAAAACTGAAAAATAATATCGAAATACACATAAAGATGGCGATAACAGACATTATGAATAGCAACTTTCTTTTGTTAAATGGTCGCCATATTTGGATCCTTACATCTTTGATCTCTTCTTATACGATGCAGCATAACCTATGATTGTGCAAAGAAAAGTAATATTAGTTTATTTACCTTTTGTGGCCGTTTGCACCGACAAATTTAAACTGAGCTTAGCTTAAGCGTGACTTAAAGTCCATGGCAACCATTGTCGCAATAATCGTTGTCGTAGAATTTCAGCTAAGCTTAAGCAAAGATATTTTACGTATACATGTGGCTTAAGTAAGGTATTTGGCTTGAGATAATCTCAACTTAAATTTGTCGATTCAAATGGGCATTAATCGAGTCGGATCAGTTAATTTAAAAATCATTTGAATAGTTAATTATTCCTTAATCAATTATGAGTTAGTATATTTTCATCATTAAAAAATATACCACTATGGCGCTCATATACTTTTATTTTCATTTCAATATTACGTTTTGAGTGTTGTACTATCAATATGAGAAACTTTCATATTATTATTATGTTAGGGATATATCATTTTCTAGAAATTAGAATTTTTTCATCTTTTCTGGCTTTTAATCGAACCCAATTTTTTTAAATTTTAAGTCAGAAAGCTAGCATAAAGCTTTGCTCATTTAACTTTATCTCTATTCTTGATATAATAAATTTAGTCATGCACTCCTACTCGTCCTCGACTTTGCAAAATTTTTTTTCTTTCACATTTATCTCTGCAAATATCTGGAATGCATTATTGGTGTGCACTATAGTGTTCCGAGATAAATTACTTGTTTCACCGAATGTACCTACACATTCGTGTTGCTTGAATCACGTGACCTTATTTCTTCTTTTAGGATAAAGTATTGAAGGAGCTGGATGAAGTGTTTGGCAGTTCTAACAGACCCATAACCTATGATGACATTTTGAAACTTCAATATCTGGAACAAGTAGTACAAGAGACGTTACGACTGTATCCTCCTATACCGCTAATTGCGAAGAAACCTGTTGCCGATATACAACTAGGTAAATCCTTTAAAAGTTAATTTTTCGTAAGCCGTAATCGGCCGTAACCGTAGATTTCGATAAATTTGTCAGATTACCAGTCTTAGCCCCAGTTGATCTCCTACACTATTCTTATGTAAGCTCTCGCTCGCAGGTAAGTCTTAGGCTCTTAAAAAGTTTAAAGCGTGACTAATAGCGACAAATTGTGACCCCTTACAGTAGTAGTGTTGTAATATGAAGTTCCTACAATAGTGTACCTATTGGTGGTGACTACTTGACTAGTAACCTGTTTGATGTTATTTATGGTTTTATCAGACGAATTACAGTCTAAACCTGAGGCGCTCACTCAACAGTTTACCACACAAAATTAACAATGTCAAGGCAAGGGTTAAGGGAGCAACTTTTCCAAGCACAACAACAGCAATAAACAGGTTGCAATTTGCAACTATGGAGAAGGAGCATTGCCGTCAAACACTTTGAAGTTCACAGGATTGGGTTTTGGGGACCACCATTATGACTTCTAAAGATCCACTAGTGTGGACATAACTGTCCACCACAAGGCTTTTATGTACCGGGTGACCCAATAAGACTATTCCTCGGTCATATCTCGAGAACCGTTCGTCATATGACTTAGGGGTAAAAAAATTATTGGATAAATCGGTCATGAAAAATCGCTGGAAATAATTTAAGCATTTTAATTAATTAATTTTTTTTATTTTAACTTTTGCGCTTTTGATTTATATTATTATTATATTGATTATATAGAAAAAGATTTTTAATAAAAAAGGTTTAAAATTTAAGAGAGGAAGAAAATGTCATCTAAAGAGATTGTAGAAGGAAAAGTGCCCATAATACTACCAGCATTTAATTAATTAGTCTCATTTTCCCAATATTTGAGGTTAGGAACGAGATTTTGAAAAACGGTTTTCACTGGCCTCTTTGGGTGTTATTTGGCGACTTTTTCATAAAAAAAAGTCATAGGTATCATTCCATTTGATTTTTTTAAGATTTTGAATCATAGTGTCAAAACTAGGCCCCTGGCGGAGAAGGATTCAACTAAATTAACTAGATTGATTCTTGTTGCCCAAGGAATGCCCTTTTCAACGATACCAAATTTGTTACAATCGGCCAAACGGTTAAGAAGGTAAAGCAGGTTATTTCAAAAATGATTGAATGCCCCACACCATCTTTGTTTTTGAAATTACTGAAAATGTAGATGAAACTTTAAAAATGTGAAAAAAGAATGTTTAGTTTATTATGCGAAATTTAAAGAAAGTCATACGACAATGGTTCCCGAGATATGGCCGAGGAACAGTCTTATTGGGTCACCCGGTACATAAGACACATTACGGTCCCAAAAATTAAAGATATAAATTTGTCGGCAACATTTATATTTTAAAAAATGTGTGTCTAATAGGTACACAAAAATGTTTCCTCTTTTGCATATTTTTTACCCGACAACATAAAATAGCGAACTAAGGAGTAAAATGTGGGAGACACTAAGCAGATGCAATAGCGGTAAGGTCATCTACTAAGAGTGCGGTTACGAAAATTAGATCGTGGTTACTGGAAAAGTTTATAAGTGCTGAGGATTACTCACTTTAAAGTGGTAGAGAGGAGGAAGAGAGGGAATTTAATTCACAGAAGTTAGGGCTATTTATTGTATTAATAAAGAACAAGCGGAAGAGTATACCATTTTTTTGTGAGCTAACAAGACGAAGAACGGAGTTCTAATTAAAAATTCGATCCAAAAGCAAAATAAACTGAATTGCTCCCGTCATTGCATTTGCGGAAGAGCGGTATACGAGTGATTATCTTTCGCGACGGTACATTAATTTTGATGTTACAATTGTGCTGCTAAAATAGAAAACCCAACTTCGCACGAAATAAAATATTCCACGCGTGCAGTGCGTGTTTTAAACATAAGTTGAGGAACTTTAAACTCTGCAAAATTTATGCTATTAGCAACAAAGCCGCACTTTGACATCAGGAAAGCTGTAAGCCATGTAGAGAAATTTCGACCTATAGGAATCCTGAATCCAAACAATTTCTATGGGAATCGAGGCAACTTAAGAAGACAAATTAGAAGTATTATAGACAATTTTGTTGTTCCATTGTTTATCAATCGTTGTGAGTTAGATATATACTTTAAGAAAGGTATCAATTTCAGTTTATTGTTCTTCATTAATTAAAAAAAAATTAAGTTTCGGGAGGGAAAGGGGTCGCCACACTGAACGTGATCTGCCCGCCGCGTGTGTTTCCTTCACATTTTTATATTCTTGTTTAGTTTAAGTCTTTTAGTAGACTAAATAAAGAGGTTGTTAGGTGATTAATTTCAGACGTTACACATGAATCAAACAGAAACATCCGTAGGTCCTCCAGCTACGAAAAATTTATTTCGTTATATGTGTACACATTGAAATCGTTTTCCAGATACCTGCGCAATACCCGCCGGTTGTACAGTTGGAATTATGATAATGGGCATACAAAGGGATCCGAAGCAGTTTCCAAATCCGATGCGATTTAATCCAGATAACTTTCTACCAGAGAACATCAAAGCACGAAATCCGTACAGTTACATGCCGTTCTCGGCTGGATCAAGGATGTGTGTCGGTATAAAGGAAACGGTAATCTCTAGTGTCCAAAATTACTAATTTTGCCTCTTTGATCAGGTTCCAAATATGCCACAATTTTGATCAAAGTAATATTGGCTATGATCCTCAGATCGTACAGGGTATCTGCCACACGTAGGGAACGTCAGTTTAAGTTGGCGGGACAGGTGGTTCTAAAACGATGTGAGGGCTACCTTGTCAGTCTGCAGTTGAAAAGTGACACGCTCAACACAACACCACCTTAAGCATTTGCTGTGCGCTGGATGCTATACTATTTAAATCTAGTGAATTTAACTTGTAGTGTGTAAATGCAGCATTGCACGTAAAGTACTATGCGATCAAAAAGTAGTTGCTGTGAGTCGCCTTTGGAATTTTTGTTTACACGGGAAATCGTACTTGAACTCCCAACGGCGACTCGACAGCAACTCATTTTTGATCACCCGTTATTAAGGCCGTTAATATGTTATAATAGATTGTATACTATATTTTAACACATTTTATAGACTAGCACATACTGCTATTGGTTTTTGTATCGATTAACAAATAAACCTCGGGAACTGTTTTGAAATTGCAATCCGGTCATTTTTTCGAAAAGTATTTATCAAATTTGGAGAACTCAGTATTGTTAATCCAGATCTAGGTCAGGAGCTAGCAGAAAATACGGGATGATACTAAATTTGCATTAAAGTAGTCGCCCGTAACTTAGTCAGGAACAATGCAGTTGTTTTTGCCATGAATTCGGTCACTTTGTTTAAAGGCTTCCTTCAAGCGTCCAATCCTGCTTCCATAAACTTCGCCATTAATCAGGAACCCTTTTGCAATGTATTTAATAAGTAAACCTCTCTTACAGTTCCAAAAAAAATAGTCTCTATCAATTGGCCAGACGAAGACTGCATTTTTTTACTGTTGGAGATGGGGAGCCCTTATAGACCCACTCGATTGGTTCCTGTTTTGTGGGAGGGTCCCAGTAAAAAGGTCACAATCCATGGCCTGTGACAATACGCGGAAAATATCCGTCAGCTTTCGCGAAAACGTCCAAAACTCATTCATTAAAGACTGATTTGTCTTAAAATGTAGGTACTCTACTCTGTCGCCACCTATCGGCAGGAGTGTCCTTCTTAAGGGCCTTTATACTCGACTCTTTCAGAGCTTTTAAAACCTTTTGCATCTGGTATTAGGAACTTGTAGGTGCATTTAAAGGTATTTATAATTATAGTTCAGAAGGCGCCTACTTTTCATATTTTATTAATTCCACCTATTAGTGTGACCTGGCCCCTGGAGACAGTTGGTTTCTCCTGCAGATTCGAAATTAAGCATCTGCGTATAGCCCGCTATAGCCCTTCTCACGTGGCACTACCACTATCCACTATATTTCTGTCAGTGTCTGCACAGCCTTTTATTGCACTTGAGAATCTAACTGAGGGTGTATCAGCTTTGAAGAGCCTTTAAAGGTTTTTAAACACTTTTAATAATATTTAATATCCAACTTTTAAATAACCTTTAGGACGAGCCTTACGGAACTATAGGTGGGTATTTTCACAGTGCCCTTTTCGCATCTCTCTCATCTCGACCATTTATAAACCGAATTGCAAACTTTTTTATTTATAAAAGTATTTGAATGAAATTTGATACATAGGCACTTGCAATAAATGAAAATCAAACGCCAGTTTCAAAATTTGGTTTTGCGCAAGCCCAGTGCCAACTTTTTTATTTATGAAAGAATTTAAACGAAATTTGATACATAGGCACTTGGAATAAATGAAAATCTAACGCTAGTTTCAAAATTTTATTTTGTGCATGCGCAGTGCTAACTTTTTTATCTATGGAAGCATTTAAATGAAATTTGATACATAGGCGCTTGGAACAAAGGAAAATATAATGTTAGTTTCAAAATTTAGATTTGCGCATGCGCCGTTCCAACTTTCTTATTTAGAAAAGCATTGAAATGAAATTCTTCTTATAAACTGAAATTGAAGTAGCACGGCAAAAATGGATTGCACATTTGCAATTTCATATTTGTGGTCGGATTTTTACGATTTTAACAGAAGTTGCATCTTACAAATAGGAAATGAATGCAAGTGGAAATGCGCTTTTTGAAAATCGTTTACGATTACTTTTTAACTTGTTACTCAAGAGGACCGTACGTAATTTAAAAGCGGAAAAAATGGCATACAGAATCTTTTGATAGCCACACTGTTTCTTTTATATCTTTTGTAATATTCATTTTCTTAATCTCTTTTTCGAATTGCCATTTTTCATAGGTATATGAAAGTCCATTTTAGGCTTGTTTGGAGGTTTGTTTTGTTTTGAGTTAAATCTGCATGTGTTTCTTATTATTCCTTTCAGAGATAGTTTGAAAGAAAATTTGAGGAGCTTGAGGTGAACTTGGCTTAAAGAAAAATTAAAGCTGGAACTGAGAACCAAACTTGATTCTTTTTTAATATTAAACTAAATAAGAAAAACGACATTTATATGACTTTGTTTTGCTAAACTCCACATCTGCTAGTGTAAAAAAGTGCAATGCATTGTCCATTTCTCCATTTTTTTACTGAACCCCTAAAAATATAGGCTTTAGGGAAACTTCATAAGAACCACTCGAAAGCGGCTTAAAAGGAAAATGAGAGTAGCCCGAGGATACTATCACGGGGATTTGAAGATGTTGATAAACAAATAAAAATCTCCCTAGACGGTGTCGACCTCCATTAAGAAATTTAAATAAGCGCATTCTAAAGCAATAATCTTATTTTCTTATGAACCAAGCAAATAAAAAGACTGAAACGAACTTTCAAATGTCGTAACACGCAACCCCATGTGCCTATGAAAATTGTAAAAGAGCAAAAAGTGCGAAATCTCAAAATAATGTTAAATATTGTCCCAAATTGTACAAACTTGCGATGTTCGATGTTCACTGTACAAAATTAATTTGTCAGGGGGTGTAAATTTTACTTGAGACACTTTGTCCATATTGTCCATATGTTCATATCTCTATATTGTATGTGATTGCACTTGTGTAAGCCATAGGCCATAGGTTCCGATAATTAAAAAAAAAGTGGCCGGCCGCTTTATTTGAAGCCATACAAAACTGATGGTGCTGCATTGAACTTAAAACCGAGTCCAAAAAACTACTGGAAAGTCGTGCCCTTCTTTCGAAATGTGCTCATGCGCGATAACCCAAAACACCATAGAAAAATAACATTTAGGCACGCAATCCGATTCAGGAGCATAGGGCATAGGAGCAAAGATTCTCACGGGAAAGTTAAAGTTCGTACAAGCCAATTTATTTCGATGAGACCTTTCATTAGAATATCATGAAAGGTAGAACATGTGTTTACCCCCCCTCCCCCAATTTTCTAAAGTTTAACTTGGCACCACTAAAAGCATGCGTATGCAAAATCTGAGGCCAATTGGTTGTCGTAAGTAAAAGTTATGCACGTTTTACTTTCAAAAACAGCATCTCAGGAAATAATTCGTGGGGTGGGGGGGGGGGGCCTTTTAGACAACGAAATTTGATGGCCGTCTGGCACACCTTCAAGGTATAGGCTACCTACCTATTGCAAAAAATTACAGGACTCTAGCTAGACCATTCCCCTAAAAGTAGTTCAAAACGGTAGAAGTGGGTCCGGACGGACGGACGCACAGACAAACCGCAAACAATACCACATTTTTTTTATTCTTAAAAAATGCGCTAGAAAGGTTTAGTACTGAAACAATTTCGGTAAACCACCTACCCCCATAGACCTATATACTTTGCATATATATAACATGCTCATTCCACGTGGGATTTTGTATATCCATACAATGTGGAAAAGTATGTCGCAAATATCCGATATATGTGCAAGGGATATAAGTTTGGCAAACTTCACATCATACATAGTATTTTTGTCTGTAATAGTATATACGTTTTGGATGTCTTGCGTATATACATGTATATGCACCAGACATGCTTTGTATGTTGGTATACTGACAAGTGAATATACCATGAATATTCCTGGAATATGCGAAGATGTTCAATAGAATATTCCATGTATATTGTATACATTCAGAATGGATGTTCTATAGAGATTCCTCTAACATTCGGGAAGCTTCCTAGTATCTATACCTACATAAATAAATTATTTTCACGGAATCAAGTTTTTTGTTTATTAAGTCTCCTAGCATACAATGGAAAAGTGCCTAACAAATTTTTATTGTTTTAATCAACACTCACCTTGATCGTGTTCTTGTTAACATTATAATAGCGTCAGATAATAATAGATTATCAATTAGGTTGCTAACATACCTGTCATTCTTGCCCCTGTTCTTGCCCTTGCCCCTTAGTAATTGCCACCCGGTCTTTACATCTCACTATAACACATATTTGTAACTTTAGGACTTACACAAACCAATTTCAAACAATAAAATTCTTTACTGTCACTGTTCAAATTAGAAAAACAAACTCATTTAACTCCTACTCCTGATTTTAAAAAAATGAACTGTATTTGCAATTGCATCTTACTATCTTCATCGCCATAATTCACAGAAAATCAGACGCTAACGTTTGCAACGTCGGTAATAAAGAAAACGCATGTATCTAATCCAAAACGTATATACATACCTTATAATCTCATGTATATACATAGAAGATCCTCGCGAGGAGGTAGAAGATATATGATCAAGTGTACTTTTAATATACATAAAAGATACATACAACGTGTGTGCATAAACATCCATATCACATCCAATATATATATTTATAGAATTTCCATACTGGAAATAAAATATGTATGTCCATAATGAATGTACATAGTACATACATAAGATGAACAGGATATTCCCTGTACATTGTGGATTTAAAAGGCATATACATAAGATAACGAATGCTATGTGGGTATTGAACTAGTTAACTGTCGGGGATGCAAAATCTGTTAATTTAAGTCAAATGATTTTTTCAAAAAGTTTTATACAAATGGAGAAAAAGATTATCTTACATTTCATAAAAAATATTCTTGATAAAAAGTTCTGTATGACTAAAATATTGGTTGAAATACAAGGAAAATCAAAATCATCATTTGAGTGAACACACACACTGATATAACATTTAACATTTGTTTATTTACTTCAAAGCACTCTATCAGGGAACGTTACACACAAGGTTGCGTTATGAGCGTTTGTTATGAACGGAATCTTGAGGGATGTTTCGTATTGCTGACGCTGACGTGTGTATTGAAATATTGGAATATAATTGCTAATTTAATTGGTAATGCAGCGTTTTATTACAAAATACAGGAAAAGAACTATTAGCGTTTTGAAATATAAACAGAATGCCAATTATTAATTATTAAATTTGTTTCACCTAGACAACCACCTATATTGTTTTTCTAGGATCTATCGATTGGCGTTAATGATCGCCACAGTACTCCCCCCTCAGTGACTACCTAATTGTTGTAGTCGCGGAAACGTACAAGCGGTTTAGTTTTTTTCCGTAGTCGAGTTGTTAAAAGAGGAGAATGATCTTCGGATGCAGTTTTTTCATTTTTTATCTCTGACATATCTTCTGGTAGGAAAGCTGGTTTTAGACGATCAATGCCAACGTTGACACTTTTACCGTTAAATAGAATAGTATAAACTTTCTCACTGCGCTTGAGGTCCGGTGTAAGGTTGCTGAAGCGGCTTTCGTACTGCATCAACTCTTAAGAAGACATGTGTACATTTTTGCAGCTCTGGATGTACAAAAACTGCAGTTTTTCCACGTCGTGCTATTGGACATGGACGAATCTCACGCATTTGATCTCTAAGTCGATCGACGAAGGTTACAGGATCCACGGAAGGATATTCGCCATCAAAGAAAAATTCTCCTGGAATTCTGAGCTGAGTTCCATAAGTTAATTCTGCAGGCGAACATTGTAGATCTTCTTTGAAACTTGTTCTTAGTCCAAGGAGGATAGTTGGTAGTAGCTCAAACCAATTAGTGCTGTTATGGCACATAATGGCGGCTTTCATGCTTCGATGCCAGCGTTCAATTAAACCATTCGATTGTGGACGGTAGGCGGTCGTGCGGCATCTCTTAATCCCAAGTAGATTCGTTAAGGACGAGGTAAGTGAAGCTTCAAATTGACGTCCTTGATCAGTCGTAATGCGTTGTGGACATCCATAACGAGACACCCAGGTGGAGTAAAATGTTTTTGCTACTGTTTCGGCGGAGATGTCCACCATAGGGGTAGCCTCCGGCCACCTGGTGAAACGATCGGACATTGTGAGACAATATCTGTGCCCTTGGGAAGGTAGGAGTGGTCCTACGATGTCAATATGGACATGCGAAAATCTACTATCTGGAACAGTAAAAGAAGTTAGAGGGTTCACTGTGTGTCGTGATACTTTCGATTTTTGACATTGTATGCATGATCGCGCCCAGGACGTGATGTCTCGATTCATGAATGGCCAAACGAATTTCTTCTTTATCGCTCGACCGGTGTTTCGTCCACTAGGGTGTGAGAGATTATGAAACATATGGAAAACTTTTCGTCGTAGACTTTTAGGTACATAAGGACGAATTATGCCTGTAGAAACATCGCAGGCTATTGTTGTTGAACTGTTATCAAATGGACAAAGCTTTTTCATTTCTAACGATGTTTCGCTTCCATTCAACAGCCGTTGTAATTCTCCATCAATTTCTTGTTCAGCGGCGAGTGTTTCAGTGTCGATTACAGTAGGCATCAATATAACAAAAACAAAAATCAAAATCTGCTAACACTAAATTAATATGTCTTTGAAAAGTTTGAGCTGCGTTTCTTAAGCCGAAAGTCATTACACTAAACTCGAAAAGTCCAAAAGGTGTGATCACTGCAGTCTTTGGAATATCACACTCAGCCACGGGTATTTGATTATAATTTATATTATAATTTGATTATAATCTATTGTCGAAAAAATTGTCTTACCGTGAAGCTTATAAAAAAAGTCTTGCAAGTTTGGCACTGGGTACTGGGGTGGTAATGTTGTTTAATCGTCTGTAATCACCGCAAGGTCTCCAGTCTCCTGGTGTTTTCTTGGGTACCAGATGAAGTGGGCTAGCCCACGGGCTATTGGATGGTCGGCACCATCCTTGATCCATCATAAACTGGAATTCCGCCTTGGCAATTCTTAATTTTTCGGGCGAAAGTCGACGAGCTGGTTGCGATACAGGCGGTCCAGTTGTGATAATGTGGTGCACCGTGGAGCTCTTCACTTTAGTGTCTGGCGGTACGGGGCGAGTGATATCTGGGAATCGAGCCAAAACCTCATGATATTTTGAAGAAACTACGAGAGTTGTAATTGTTGGAGCATCGCAGTCTTCAATGCTAGCGACAGAGGTGAGTTGAGTTCTCGAGTCAATAAGTTTTGTGTTTCTTAAATCAACTAGCAAACTATAATAACTCAAAAGATCTGCGCCTATTATGGGTTGAGAGACGTTGGCTATAACGAAAGTCCATTTATACGATCGCCTTAATCCCAAGTCGAGGCAAATTAATTTTTCTCCATAAGTTGATATTGGTGAGGCATTGGCTGCGAAAAGCGACACTTTAGTGAGTATGCAAGTTGACTTACCCAAGAACTGCTTTGGAAGCACCGATATATCTGCTCCCGTGTCGATTAGATATCGAATTCCGGACTTTTTATCTGTTATGAAGAGGCGATGATGTTTTTCGCTACCCCCGAACACTGCCTCATGTGTCGGTGGGTTGTTTAGTTTTCCTTCGGCTTGAAATTACAGGGAGGTTTGCATTTTCTTGCCTTTTCACCGAAACTGGCATGGTAGTAACAAACTTCCTCTGCTGGGCGATGTCTAGAGTTACCGGAGTGTCTCCGTGAACGAGATTTAGATCGACCATAACGCTGTTGTGAACGTCCTCTATCGGTGGTGAGGGTTTTAACCATGTCAGTGAGCATCTCAATTTGTTTTTGCATTACTAATAATGCAGATGCAGATTCTGACATGTCCGTGCGTCTGGGAGACGCAGCACGGTTGACTGCGGAAATCGACCCAGAAGCGTATATTTCCACAAGTTTGTCTGCGACGTCGGCCATCTTATCCAACGTGACACCTTCGCTGGCAGAAAGAATGAGCTGGATATTTTGAGGCAAGCGCTGCACCCACAGGGTCTTCAGTACGTCTTCGTTAATGCGTTATCTGCTAAGCTTCTCATCTGTCGCAGTAATTGGGAAGGTTTGTGATCACCTAATTCAATTTCATTAAGCAGCTTGCGCAACTGACGATCCTGCGAGTCAGAATACGCCGCAATGAGTTTCTTCTTTATGGTCTCGTATTTGTCTGTCGAGGGTGGATTAGCCACGACGTCGGAGACTTGTTGTAATACATTACAATCGAGTGCAGCTACCACTGTGAAAAATCTTGTGATGTCTGACCTGATTTTATACGTATGTAATTGGGCATCTACTTGTGCAAACCATAGGACGGGGTCCTTTTGCCAAAAAATTGGTAATTTAACCTTTCTAATCTCCTCTATCGTATCTGTTGTAGGTTCCGGTTGTTGTCGACTTTCCGCTAATTGTTCCTGCAGCCGCGCGATGAGCGTTTGTTGTTCCTGTAGTTGTTGTTCCATTTTTCAGATGTGTCCGCACGTAATCACTCACGTATCACGTCGGGGTCACCAAATTGTAGCGTTTTATTACAAAATACAGGAAAAGAACTATTAGCGTTTTGAAATATAAACAGAATGCCAATTATTAATTATTAAATTTGTTTCACCTAGACAACCACCTATATTGTTTTTCTAGGATCTATCGATTGCACATTGCGTTAATGGTCGCCACAGTAACAATTACAACGAACATTTTGCTCTCCACTACAGTTTGAACGTAATTATTCTCTCACTCCAAATGATGATTTTGGTTTTCCCTGTATTTCAGGAAATGTGTTTAATTATAGATCTACAAGTCAAGCCTGAAATACTCAGATACTGCAAACAAAAAGCTGAACCTAGAGACACCACTTCCCTAGATAACCAGGCAAAAAGTGCTGGATTTAAAACGGGGACAGACACCACCGTAATGTTATACTAATTACCCTGAAGCGGCGCAGTCTGAAAGACCTACAGAGGGAACCAAAAGCCCCGTAATTATCGCAAAAATCCCCTCGCAATACGGTTCCAAAGCGGGAGAGTAGCTCTCGGGTTCGCCCCCTGATAGTATAATTTGTAAGACTATATCGTCATAAATTTGGGCAGAAATTTTAATCGGTATAATCTTGGCAACCCTCAAACATCTTGACCATACAGTCTCCAGTGCGTGTCTACTATCGGAATCTATCCTAAATCAACTTAACCATCAACTACTTAATAAACAATCCAAGGAAAAATAAATGAATATAATACAAACAGAAAAATATAAAACCCCCAAAACCCCTTATCAACAATTCTAAGGAAAGTATCAGGGGAGGAGTCTTTCCTTTGATGATGATCAAAACCATTGAATATAATAATCAAAGATCAAAACCTTACAAATAATATCATCTTTGAAAAACGGTTACGACGGAACGATTGGTCCTTCTGCTGCAAATCCACGCAGAATATGTTTTTTTTAAATGGATGGTCGAAAAACTGAAGATGGTGTATAGGTATTTGGGAAGCCCAAAAGGGATTAAAAAGGTTTCCGGCTTTGTACGAGTCGGGAAGCACGGCATTTTTTGTGTAATTTGCCTGCTCCAATTCTCATTTAATTATGTTTGATATTCATAAGGTATTCCTTGTCACTACCATCATGCATATAAACTACAATGCTACTATGCACTTATAAGTATACATAACAAGCTGAACACACCGTTAGCGATCTTCTCACGTCCGTAACAAATATTGATTATGGGCTCTTCTGTCACCAATCTGCCATAAAAACCTGCTTAAATATTATAATTTATACCATACACGCATTTTTACTGTTTTAATCAATTGAAAATTAATACATTACTTTCCCTTTTTAGTAGTTTGGATATTTATTAATGGGTAGTAATTTCTAATTAGGTACTTTTTAACTGTATTATATAATTCAGACACGAAGATGTGTTATGTGTGTACTTTCTTTTTATAACTATGGACTGACATGCAATTCGGTAATGACCTTCTTAGCGATTGAGAAGTGAAATTGTAAATAGAATGGTACTGAGTACCATGTTCCGTTTACTTTCGATTGTTTTAAGTTGAACGAGCGCCTCGGTGAGTAGGTACCTACGTGCAGGTGCACTAAATCTCTATAGTTTGAGTACATATCTAATTTTCCAAATTATAGTATGTGCATGAGTTTCGGATCTTGTTTGTTCTGGAAACCCAAATATGCTTAAAAAAGGAATATCACACAAATACACTCTACACTGTGATCATTTTAAGGTCACATGGCTATTGCATAATTGAAATAGTGTTTAATATCACAGCATTCTTTTGAACTGAGGCATGATGTTTACTTAAAAGGTTCTTCACTTTCGCACAGCGAAAGTAAATGCTTCACGCATAATCTAGAAAGTTACTGAAGGACACATACCTATACGTATCAATTTCCATCTTTTATTTTACTCAATGATCCAGATCAATCGGTATTACACGCGGAAGTTATCAACCATTTGACTTGGAATTTCCTTCGAAAATTTTATCTTTTTATGAAATACCTAGACACGTAACGCATATAGGTACCCATTACGGTAAACGGCTCACTTCCTGCTTACATGTTACAATTATGCATTTTTTATTAGGTATAACCGTTGATTTAATTACTCAATGGTATAACGCATAATACTCCAATATAGTAAATGTTCGATTTCCTAAATCTTTTACTATAAGTTGGTGCTGCTTTTAGATTGATGCTACATAGACACCCCGTCCCATTAAAATGGACTATTTTCAGTTGAAGAGAATTAAGTATTCTTATCTATATCGTTTTGATTTTAAAGGGCCACAGAAAACGACTGTTTGTAATCGTATTCCTAACTTTAGTGATTGAATAGAAATTTTATTTTTTGTGAAGTACCTACGGTTTTTCTTGAAAGTTTTATGAAGAAATGTCAATTGTTAATGTAATTTTATCAAATCTGTTTTCGCTATTTTGTAGTGTATCAATCGCGGGTGTGCACCTCCTATCTTGAACGCGATCTTACGACTCATACAAGGTCAAACATTTTTTACCGGCGGTCTATCGAAATGAGTGGAGAGTTCTATTTCTTTTATTTTTTCGCCAGAAACAATAAAAACTATCACAGTTGTAAGTTATTTGCAAAGTTCAATGGGAAAACGTAGGAAAGCTATGTACCAATGTACAATTAATGTCTAAAATATTTACCGTTTCATAGCGAACGTGAACGACAGTATGACTGGCGATAAACAGCGATAACAAGAAATGTATTGCGGAGTTACCACGATTTATTTCTATTTATCCGAGCTCAATCAAACCAGAGCATTAGATTTTTAATTTCAGGTTTTGAGAAGAGATAAGAGGCCATACTTCCGAAAAGTAAAGGATATAAGGACATTTGTTTATTACTGAGGTAATCATAGGTAAATTAAATAGTGTATTAAGAGACAAGTGCATAATCACGTCTTTAAAGCGCGCGAAACGAGTTTAATAGCCCGACGCGTAGCCTTTAAACGTTGCAAGTGCTTCAAACACAAATTATACACGCGTTTCTGATTGTATTTTTTTTTATTATCCTTAAAAATATAAGGGAAATAAAACTTCGGTTGTAAAAGATAACCGTCCATTCAATTGCTTGTTGCAGGAGCAGGAGAAAAGTTAGTAGGAGCAAAATCCAGTAAAGTAAAGAATATGAAAAGCTATTTTTGCGGATAAATAGGAGACATCTTACGACCAAAGTTTTAAATGCATCGATAATGCTGGCATATAAGGAATTATCAAAGGTCTTTAAATCTGTCATCCTTTGGTGCATTCATTCAAAACTTCAAACAATGCTGCGATTAAGTAATGAAAGTAACTTTAAACAAAGCATAAGTACAAGCCAAAGAAATTTTTTGCATTTACAGAAAGCGACCTAAGAAGATTTTTATCTCAGTTCCAGGTGACAGTTTCATAAGTCATAATTGAAGTAACACTACTTAGCAACTTTTGAAGCACTTGTGTTTTAAAGACCCGATGTCGCACGCATTTGAGTGTTCAAAACGGAGATCGTGATTCCGGTATAATACAAAATTATCACAGTCAGAGCCGTAGCCAGATTAGTTACGAAGAGCGGGCAAATAAATCTACAGAGCGGGCAGGTGAAATATTAAATTCCCGCGCAGATACCACCCGCTGAATAAATTCGTTCTTAGCCCAACCCACGAAAGTGGGCGCTTATGTCTTTACATTTCCGTCCGTGTGTCTGTCGTTCCGTGCTATAGCTCAGTTTCCTAGACCTCGCACCGACTTCAAGTTTTCGCTATATGGAAGCTTGTGAGTTCTAGGTGCGCAACTATCAAAAATTAACTTAGGCATTCATCATTTTCTTGCGGTCAAAATCGTTATTTATGGCCCAATTTTGTTGGGAAAAAGATCAAACTCAACTGCTCCATAACCAAGAAATGATACACGTGTTTTTTTTGTGAAATAAATATTTTTACCCAAAGGATGTCAAAATCGTTATTGATGCATCAATTTTCTTGGGAAACTCAATTGCTCAATGCTCAAGAAGTGGTCTATGTTTATTTTTGGTGACATTTTTTTGCGACAAAAATATCAAAATAGTTATTTATGTATGGGTTTTCTTGGGAAGAAAGCATCGTATCGCCTTCAGATGTTCGCTGTATGAAAGTTTATCAGTTCCAGATGTGCATACTATAAATAATTAATTTTGGTATCTATCACTTTATGGCCTAAAGGCGATATATCTTCTAAATCCTTATTTATGCATCAATTTTCTTAGGAAAAAGCCCCTGTTGTGTTGCTGTCGAGTCGCCTTTGGAAGTTGAAATTAAATACGATTTCCAATGTAAACAAAAATTCCAAAGGTGACTCGACACTCGACAGCAACTCATTTGTGATCGCATTGTATATTATGTATATTATTTATGTTGAAGTTTTCTATCTCTTCTTTTGTTAAATTATTTCGGAAATATTTGATCACCATCAGCATGCTTTGTGTCATATTAACAAATTTTCAAGAGCGGGCACAGCGGGTCCCAAGAGAGGTCTTAGCTTATGCAATAACATATCCGAGTGTCTGGCAGCAATTTCGCGGATGTCACAGCGATCGTGGGTGGCCGCAAAGAGTTACAATTTTGAAAATTCAAACAATTTTATTATTAATGAGCTTATTATTATTAATGTACTGTATGATCTAAGAAAAAATGTTACTTTTGCTTTTGTCGTTGAAATGACAAGTTTCATATTAGCGAAAGAGGGTTATATGTGAAGTGCAAAATTTCATTAAAGAAGTGCCGTGTTCTGAATCAGATGGACGTGCCTTTTACTATGGAAGATTGTTGTTTTAGCATTTTTAATAGAAGAAATAAACCCATAAAGAGCGTTTAAAAAAGCGGCAGAGCACCTCGGTGTGACCCCACGGAGTCATTGGATTTGACCCATTTTCAATTGGCTTGTTACATTTGGTATATATGGTTTGAACCGAATAGGTTTAAGTGGTTGCCAGAGGCGGAGAGGTGTGACCCTACGGGGTCATTGGATTTGACCCATTTTCAATAGACGTGTTACATGTGGCATAGAAGTCTACTGTGCAAAGTTTCAACCGAATAGGTTCAAGCGTTTGGCAGAGACAGAGAGGCCCATTTTCAATAGGCTTATTACTTGTGGCATACAGGTCAACTGTGCAAAGTTTGAACCAAATCGGTCCAAGCGTTTGACAGTTACCGTGTTCACGGACAGACGGACACCATCGACTCCCCTATAAAGCTTTCATCACTTTGCTCTGCCGCTTAATAAATATTTCATTAAAATTGTCAAAAACCTATGAAGGTAGACGCAGCTCCTCCAGTTCTATTATATTAGCGAACTTGAATGTTTTCCATATTTATTTCGAACAACAATTAAAACTGTGGCACTAGAGCAAGTAGTGTTTACTTTGCAATCAACATTTTACGTTTAGTGACGTTTGATAACGGAATCAGGATTTCCAAACTTTCGTTCGAACTTAAATTGGATTATTTGGTAATTCTTTTCCGAAATGTTGCTAGTGTTATAAATTGTATTAAATTCCTTTCCGGAAGGGGATTTTGTCACAACACTGTCATAACAAATCTGCGTCTACTGTTCAAAATGCTCTAATCGACATGTAGGCCACCGCCACAAAACTCCTTTAATCGCAGCAACTTTAGTTTTAACCATGTTTTTCTGATATTCTCATCTTATTTAGAATAAATATTAGTCTCAGTATGCATAATTTAGATAGTCAAAAATTTACTATTTTATTTCACTTAATATTTTTAGTTTATGACAGCCATAATGCCAACTAAATTAGGGCGACATATAATAACAAGTTAAAAAGTAATCGTAAACGATTTACATAAAGCGCATTTCCACTTGCATTCATTCAACTTCTGTTAAAATCGTAAAAATCCGCCCACAAATATGAAAGATAGCGTTGCACATGGGCAATCCATTGTTGACGTGCTACTTCAATTTCAGTTTATGCGAAGAATTTCATTTCAATGCTTTTCTAAATAAGAAAGTTGGAACTGCGCATGCGCAAACCTAAATTTTAAAACTAATGTTAGATTTTCCTTTGTTCCAAGCGCCTAAGTATCAAATTTCACTTAAATAGTTCCATAGATAAAAAAGTTGGCACTGCGCATTCGCAAAATAAAATTTTGAAACTAGCGCTAGATTTTCCTTTATTCCAAGTGCCTATGTATCACATTTCATTTAAATTCTTCCATAAATAAAAAAGTTGGCACTGCGCATGCGCAAAGCCAAATTTTGAAACTGGCGTTTGATTTTCCTTTATCCCAAGTGCCTATGTATCAAATTTCGTTTAAATTCTTCCATAAATAAAAAAGTTGGCACTGCGCATGCGCAAAACCAAATTTTGAAATTGGCGTTTGATTTTCCTTTATTCCAAGTGCCTATGTATCAAATTTCATTCAAATACTTTTATAAGTAAAAAAGTTTGCAATTCGGCTTATAAATGGTCGAGATGCGAAAAGGGCACTGTGAATTTTGAATCGATTCGATTCAACTTTTGGCATTGCGTATTATATGGCTAAAGCTATGCCCATATTGAATTTCATGCAATTCAGTTCATAACTAACGGAGATGTAAAAGCGATCGAACATTTCTAAACAAAGTTATCGTTCACACGGACAGATAGATGGACAGACAGACAAAGGAACAGACGGACAGACCAACCGGCAGGCGACAGATAGCAATGCAAAATTATAAACGATCTCTAGGATCGTTAATAAACGGCAAAAGTGTAAAATTATGGAAAATGTAAAAAACGGTTTTTTGTTTTTTTTTACAATAACTTTTTTTGTAAGCGGTACAGAAAAAATTCCTTCCTTGGTACAAGACTCGACACCATAACGAACCAAATAGCGAAAAAAGTAGAACAATAGCTCTTAAGATAAAAAACTAGTAGCGTCGCAAAGTTAGCGGACGGACGGACGGACGGACGGACAAAGTGGCCACAATAGCGCATTTTTTTTTATTTTTGTGGAAATGCGCTAAAAATGTAAAATAACTAATAATAAAAAAAGTAAATTAACATATTTTGGTATACTCCAAAAATTTTGGTCATAAAAACGTAATTCCGAGCACTAAATAATTTTAAATAGAAAGAAAAAAGAAAGATTAAATTAATGTTCTTAATACTATCACGACGAAATGTCCGCTTTTTGGATTACTTTACATATTCACAAAATAATTACAGATCATTTGAATTTTAAATAGGTTGCATCTTACAAACGAAACCTAGTAATCAATAATTGGGGGGTTATATTTTTTGGTGTTTGTGTTCGGGTGCAGGACAAATTTATAGAGCTGTCGAGTTCACATAATATTTGTAATAACTAATAATATATTACAGACGGAAGTTAATTTAATCGCTTGTAGTCAAGATAAGTCCGAAGAAAGTTTTACGTAACAAATCTTTAAGAATATTGTGGAGTGGTTTCTAATTCGCTAAACACCATATTCATTAACAGTCCTTGTACAGAGAAAGCAAGAATGACACTGAGTGATGCCGAAGACGTGATCTTATTTACTACTTTGCATGTATTTGGGTTTCTATTTGTGCCCTTCGTAATTCTTTGGTTTATTTATTGGAGAAGATCGCAAAGAAATTTGATAGTACTTGCAGAGAAACTTCCAGGGCCCAAGGGATGGCCTATTATTGGAAACGCCTTGGATTTCATAGGAACATCTCCCGGTAAGCGTTTTTCATAACTTCAATTTTTATCATATTTTCGCGTACTTAGTAAATTAACATTTTTCGCTACCTATACGATTATTAACGAGCTTTCGTGTGCGACAGGTTTATTTACATTTAATTTTGGAGATAAGCATTTGGAACTATATATACAATCTATGGAACCATTTGTTTAATTTTCTTCTCAACCATAAAATAGAGACGGATCGAATTAATGGCTTTACCGTATTTTGGTAATCTCCTACAGATATCCGCCCTAAAATGGTACATCTCTAAAGTGCAGTTGGATACATTTCTAATACAATATCGATGCAATTTCGTATAAAAATGTATACCTAAAAGTTAGCAATAAAGTTTCATTTTTAAATATCCGAAACTCCATTTTGGACAACAAAAAGTTGCGGAAATGTGTTAAAAGGCTATGCGCATTTTGTATGCGAGTGACCTAAAATTCTTGCCTAGGTGTAATACGTTAATATTCAGAATTGTTTTGTCAACCAGTTTCTACATATTTTAGGGAAGATCACAAGACACCTTTGCTAATATTAGGTCTATCGGAAATTAAAGGGATAAGATTAAGTGGAAAAACAACATCATGCGCCCCTTGTTTTTTAAAACTGCTGCATTTGTAATTAATTTGGTTTAATACTGATGCATAATTAGAACCGTATATTTGACATTTTTCGCCTTTATACGAAATAATAATTTCAAAAATTAAGGTGGGTCGGCTAAGTGCACGTAGCCCCGGATTTTTTGAAACTTGAAACGTTGGCATATGCCTGGCGTCGCCTCCTCTCCCAGGATTTAGTCAACTGTCGTGGTAGGCACTATCAGGGACGTTTCTCCACTACTTTGTTGCCATCGCGCTAATAAAAAAATTTTTTATTATGCGAGGAATAACGCTAATTATGCGCCTATTTGTGCCGATGGAATAAAATTTTATGTCCTAATAAAACATAAGTTATTGTATAAACCAGCATCACTCAAACTCACATTATTTCAGTCAACTTTACGCGACTGCTAAAGTTTTTATAAATGAATTTTTGATGGTGATGGAGATGAGCCAGCAGAACCACTTTCTGTGGGTGACTATGTTTCAATCAGTGATGCAGATTCAAGGGGATATCGGAGGTCCTGAAGGATTACCTGGCGTTTTAGAAGGGAGAGGTGTTTCCAGTACCAATGTTTTGACATTTTTTTATTAAAAAAGGGTGCTCCTGCTGATAGGTGGCGACAGAGTAAAATGCCACCTAAGCATAGAAATACATTACATGACTAATTCATATCTTATGCCACTGCGCGACCCAGCTCCATCAGTTGTATAAAGCAGTGTATCCCCTCCAATTGCGGTGCACCCTTAAGTGTGTGCGAAACACCTGCATTAGATGCTTCTGTTCTACACTTTAAGTGTTCGACCCTTTGGTTTTTTTTAGGTTTTTGAACATAAAAATCACAAAAATGAAATTAGTTTTTAAAAATTTCAAAGGCCACTGCAATTCTTGGCCGGCTTCACCAAAATCTTTGGTTTAGGTTCACTTATCATTCATAATAGGTATACAAATTTGTTCACGGAATAAACTCCCCTGGGTCGACTTCTTCAGGAATGTCAAATTGACTCTCAGCATAAATCTTTCATACAAAATCCCCAAAACTGTTGACTTCTATTTTTACACAATGCAAACATTCAAAATAATAATTTATCAATGAGTTAAAGTTTTCTCCCATTGATAGTTGTTTCTCTTCTTTTGAAAAGTAGCCGAAATTTTAAAAATGCGCAACGCAATCGAACCTTGTGTTTATTGATTGGATTAACTCACCAATGTTCCGCAGTGGGGAAATGTCAAAAAATGTACAGGGTGTCCCATTAATAATGGTCGCAGGCCATATCTATGGAACCGTAACTTGCACAGCTTTGGGGAAAAAAATTTGTTAACAAAGGGGGCCAAGAGAAATCGCCGGAAATTATTTTCAAGTTTATAACTTCGCCGCTAGAGGGCGTACGATTCATGGTTAAGTATAAAAATGACCTTTCTAAAATACAGGGTGATTCCTATAGTACCTGCCACCGTTTGGGAGCGTGTAGGTGGTGCGTAGGGGAGTATTTTGATATAGGACACTTGGGGTCGGAAATCTAAAATAAGGGTGCCAGAGCCAAATTTACCTTCTGGAATTTCGCGCCTGTAGGTAGGCAACCCAACCGGCCGGCGGTGCACACGGAGCGATCTCAGGCGGCGATGTGTGGCTGACACTTGATCAGAATTTTGTTTAAACCCACGAAATCCCGTCTGCAACGACGCGTATCAAGTGAATAAACACTATGGCAATAGTATAATAATAGTTGGCTAGATGTAGGAAGTGCATTGAGAACAACGGTGGCCACGTTGAACACTTGTAAACGTTATTGCTTTTGACTGTCGTTTTCCCTCCTTCCCTCCCATGTCGCTTCCTCGCGCTAACTCGCTCTGCATCGCTCCGCGCGAAACGTCGGTCGGTTGGGTTGCCTACATACAGGCGTGAAATTCCAGAAGATAAATTTGGTTCTGGCGCCCTTATTTTAGATTTCCGACCCCAAGTGTCCTATATCAAAATACTCCCCTAGGCACCCCCTATACGCTCCCAAACGGTGGCAGGTACTATAGGAATCACCCTGTATATCCAACAAACATGCATAAAAAATACATGCATAGCAATCTTGTATCCATTTTGCATCATTTTGATGCAGCACATATTGCTCTAGCTCATTAAATATGAGGGGTGGGCGAAGGGGAACATCTCTTTAAAGAATTGAATGTAACTTCGGTTTAGGTTAACAGATTTTCACATAATAGGTCTTGTTGAAAAGAGCTCTCTTCGTGGAATCACATTTTACACGAATAGAATATTTTTAGTAAATGTGATGAGTGGTAGAGGGCGCGATGTGACATTAACATAAACTTTACAGTTTTTTTTACATTTCAAATGGAACGATATAATTATTATATGATATGAAATAAGATGAAAAAGTGAGAATATCAGTGAAAACCGCATTTTGATATCTGTTTTCTAAGCAGAGATATGGCGAAAATACGAACAGTCACAAATTGCCATATTTATATTCATCCAAGTTGAATTTGAAACAAACGAACACATAGCAACCAATAATTATGTCAATGTGAATGAGGCGAGGGCAGTTCAAAATTAACACTCAATCTAAGTTGTTAAATTATGAGCTACCAAAAATTACTCAAACTTTAAATCAGAGAAATATGAATATAAATAATAAAAGAAATAATAATATAATTAACATAAATGTTCTATGTCTGCCATTATTTTCGATACAAAGACTGAAAGACGAGTCTCTGCTGCTGCTCTGCTTTTGTTTCAAAGCCAACTTGAATTAACATCAATTTTGCAATTAAAATTTGTGAATGTTCGGATTTTCGCCATATCTCTGCTTAGAGAACAGATATCAAAATGCGGTTTTCACTGATATTCTCACTTTTTCATCTTATTTGATAATATCATAGAATAATTATATCGTTCCATTTGAAATTTTCAAAAAAAATGCACAAAGTTCATGTTAATGTCACATCGCGCCCTCTACCACTCGGCACATTTACTAAAACGACTCTATTCATGTAAAATCTGATTCCACGAAGAGAGCTCTTTCCAACAAGAGCTATTATGTAAATATCTGTTAACCTAATGCGAAGTTACATTTAAACCTTAAAGAGATGTTCCCCTTCCCACGCTCCTCATATTTTATAAGCTAGAGCAAAATGTGATGCGTACTTTCACCTTGAAAGTTGCCTAAGAATGCATCTCCCCCACCCAATTTTTACTTATGTACTAGCCCCCTACACCCGAAACAGCTCCAACGCAAAACATAATTCGGCTATGTTTTTTATGCATGAAATGTATAGCAGAAGCGCCGTCGTTCATGGTCCGTTAGGATGATGGTTTTTAGAATGGGCAAGACTCTGGCGTTTCGACACTTATCTATTGCACACTCGTTTCTTATCTTAACGCGTTTTATTTTTTTTAATGCTCTTAACAACCTATTATTCTTTCAAATATGTCATAAACTTTAAATACCGTACTCTTGATGGTTCTTGCTGCTCTTCCACCTCTAGTCGCTCCGTTACAGGTCCAAGAAGAATACCAAAACGCATACAAAGGTTCCAAAAGGAAAATTACCTTACAAATGACTATTCTTTCTTCATTGAAAAATTTTTTTCTTTTGTTTTACACGAAACTGGTTTAGATGAGAAGAAAAGTGTAAGCATAACTAACCTTGCAAGGGTATCTCTTCATCCGGATCTTCCAGAAACTTTTCTTACAATCGCCAAGTCCGCGAACATATTTTTTTTATTTAAAGCGTTTCTTCAAAATTTAATTGCACCGAACACATTATAACAGTGTATTGAATGTCCAAGAAAAACACACCGCCTTAATTATCTTTCGGGGTGGTTCACAAGGACCCTACTCAAAAATTTTAAATTAATTAACCTGAAAAAAATGTTAACATTCCATTAGGAATTAATTTGAAGTGTCAAATTTGGAGTCCAAAATATACGGTTGTGGTCAGCAGTGGTTCATCAGAGCCCCAACAGTGGTTAAAAGCCAAAAATCCTTGAAAATGAAACATTGTGTTGTGTTATGACTTTATTAATTCTTTAATTTGAATGTAACAAATGCGGGTACACTAAAAAAAACATTAATATCTTTTATGTCGTACTAACCTATCATAGCACATTTTATATCTGTGATACGCGGGCATAAAGTGGGCCCTATGGCATTAAGTATCACCATAGTAACTCATTTATACTTAATGACAAAACAAACAAATATTTGCAGGTAATTGAAAATTAGAAACGTCAATTATTAAATGTCAATACTTATTAACTCACAAGATTTGCCTTATTTCGAATAGTTTCTGAAACTTCTTCCTCATTCATGATGAATTGAATTATTTAAAATTACGTTTGACGTTTGGATGGTTTCAATCACATTAGCAAATTCGAACCGCGCATACTCGATCAAACATAATGAATTATTTTGTAAACGAATTTTGACGAAGAAAACTATTTGTAAAACATAAACAGCTGATGTTTATATTCTCGAGGGCGACGAGTTAAAAAGCTCGAGGGCCTATGCCTATGCCGATTATGCCCTTAATACACAAACAACTATTATCTAAAGTGAACAAACCCTTGCAATGTAACACAGAAACTTTAAACAAACATAACGCACCCTTGCTTCAACAAATTTGCTTGTAAAAACTAAAGTCGCATTAGATTTTATAACGAAGCAGAAATTTTACATTTTCTGGATGGATCACCATATAATGATATCTACTATAGCTAGACAATAATTATTACAACTTTTTTATCCATTTTTCAGATATATTTACGAACGTATACAAACACACTTACGACTACGACCGTATAATTCGGTTGTGGATAGGACCCAAGCTGATGGTATTCTTACTCGATCCACGCGATGCTGAAATTATTTTAAGTAGTCACGTGCACATTGACAAGTCGGCCGAATACAAATTCTTTAAACCTTGGCTTGGCAATGGTTTATTGGTTAGCACCGGTAAGCTGTCCATTGGAGAAGGTGTAAATACATCCGTTTCATTTTAGGTCAAACATGGAGATCGCATCGAAAATTAATAGCGCCCACTTTTCACCTGAACGTGCTGAAGGGTTTTATTGATTTATTTAATGTGAACAGCAAGGCTACCGTGGAGAAAATGAAACTGGAAGAAGGGAAAATCTTCGACTGTCACGATTACATGTCGGAAGCTACGGTGGAAATGTTGCTGGGTATGTTTAATTTATGATTCTGATTTTATGTACCTACATAAAACTGCAGAGACGGCAATGGGGGTAAGCAAAACTACGCAAGACCAAAGCGGCTTCGAGTACGCTATGGCAGTAATGAAAATGTGCGATATTTTACACTTGCGACATACCAAATTGTGGTTAAGGCCAGACTGGCTATTCAACTTAACGAAGTATGGAAAAATTCAGAAACATCTTTTACACATAATCCACGGCTTAACAAAGAAGGTCGTGAAAAATAAAAAAGAGTACTTCAATCAAGGAATGCGTGGTACCGCTGCTGTGGTACCACGGGAAATGCAATCAAATCAACATGGCACACACAAGACGTCTGTTGAAGGAATTTCGTTCGGGCAATCGATCGGTTTGAAAGATGATTTAGATGTTGACGATAATGATGTAGGTGAAAAGAAAAGGATGGCTTTCTTAGATTTGATGATTGAAGCATCTCAAAACGGCGCCAACATAACGGATGAAGAAATTAAAGAACAAGTCGACACCATCATGTTTGAAGGACACGACACGACAGCCGCAGGCAGTAGCTTCTTTCTATCTCTAATGGCCGCTCACCCGGAGGTGCAAGATAAAGTAATTAAAGAAATGGACGATATATTTGGAAGCTCCGAACGTTCTGCGACTTTTGCTGATACCTTAGAAATGAAATATCTCGAAAGGTGCATCTTAGAAACTCTTCGAATGTATCCTCCGGTCCCTGTTATAGCCAGGCAGCTGAAGCGGAATGTTCCATTGGGTTTGTATTTGGAAGAAAAATTTAAAAATACAATTGATTTATTTTAGCAAATGGTGACTACACCTTGCCTAATGGGTGTACAGTAATTGTTTGCACATACAAAATCCATAGACTTCCGCACATATATACAAATCCAGATAAATTTGATCCTGACAACTTTCTACCAGAGCGCACCTCCAATAGGCACTACTATGCCTTCATACCATTCAGTGCCGGACCAAGAAGTTGCGTTGGTACGTACGCTTGCCTAATTTCACAAAGGTGAACGAAAACTTTTAGGGCGTAAATACGCAATGCTCAAGTTAAAGGTTTTACTCTCAACAATCATGCGTAATTTTCGCATCAAGTCGGATTTAAAGGAAAAGGACTTTCAACTGCAAGGAGATATTATCTTAAAGAGAGCTGAAGGATTTAAAATTAGACTGGAATCTAGAAAACCGCTTAGTGGTTAATGATAGTAATGTACACTATTTTAGTAGGTAATAACGGTAAAATGATACAATGAGTCTCAGGTTGTATATAAAAACTTTCTTTTGATGCGTAGGTTTTGAGATGATCAGCAAAACTTTTACGGGTTTTACCGTTTCATGTACATAACTAATTATTTACCTGAAAGCATTTAATAAACTAAATAATATGGAAATTTATAATGAGCAATTCTTAAGAATTTAAATAATCCCAGAAACATTAACCAAAACTGCTCCCAGGACCAGACCATGACGGCCACCTCCCATAGTCATGTCATAAAGTAAAATTTTTAGAACAGTAGGTAATAGGGAAATGGGAATGCAATCCGGCAGCAAAATCTCAATCCCGGTATTTGCGGGATTGTTAGATGTTAATCCCGCGGGATCCCGGTATTTGCGGGATCCCGCAAACCTTTAATTAATAAATTGGCAAATACGCAATTCTGTGCGGTTAACTTCTGTATTAAAATAAATAAATTATCACAATATTCAGCCTAACTTAGAACTCAAAAAAAAACCTCACCTGTAAAGCACAAATAGGTGAACTTCTAAAGTTTTTAACGAACAAAGTTTAACAATTATTTAAAAAATAACTTCTCCGTTATGCGCTTCATTAACAAAGTAAACAGAGTCCGTCCCCTTGGTCGACAAATTCCTCAGTCCCGCAAATCCTGCGGGATCCCGCTCCATTTATGTGCGGGATTAATCCCGCAAAAATGCTGCGGGATTCCGGTATTTCGGGATCCCGCGATCCCGGTATCCCGCAGCAAAATCTCAATCCCGGTATATGGGGGATCGTTAGAAGTTAATCCCGCGAGATCCCGGTATTTGCGGAATCCCGCAAAATTTTAAATAAATTGGCAAATAAGCAAATTTATGCGGTTAACTTCTGTATTATAATAAATCGCTAATTATCACAATAAGTATTCAATAAAAAAGTACCTACAGCCTAACTTAGAACTCAAAATAATCACCTGTAAAGCACAAAAAGGTGAACTAAGTGCCTCAAAAATCATAGTACCTACATTTTTAACGAAAAAAGTTTAACAATTACGAGTATTTTAAAAATAATTTCTCCATTGTGCGTTTCATTAACAAAGCAAACAAAGTCGTCCCCTTGGTCGACAAATTCCTCAGTGCCGCTAATCCCTCGGGATCCCAGTCCATTTATGTGCGGGATTAATCCCGCAAAAATGTTGCGGGATCCCGGTATTTCGGGATCCCGCGATCCCGGTATTGCATTCCCTAATTTCAGCGCATTTTCGCTCTACCAAAAACCATAAGCTTTGATTTGCTAGGATTTACTAGCAAGAAATGCTTACTACTCGTGCCAATTATCGACTTTAAATCTTTATTAATCTTTTCGCTAACATGTGACATTGGCAAAATTTTAATGACCGGTGAAAACTAGATGTGTAAATTATGAATAAGAGTGGACCCAATATAGAACCTTGAGGTACTCCTGAAGAGATAGGCAATTGACTTGAGCGTATGTCATTTAAATGGACATGTTTATCTCAAATATATTTGAGATAAACATCGACACCAGGTTGATAGCTGCAGCGGTAAAACCAATATATTTCAATATTGACATTAAAATTTTATGATCTATCGTGTCAAATGTGTTGTGTATTGAGTAACTGAATCATAGATACATTAGTAAACAGTAGTTAGTGTTGTCAAACTAACGTGAATTTTGCATAATTAGTTAAAAGAGCAATAAACCATTTACACTAAAGCGGGTATTTAATATTGGCGACGAGGATCAAACACCAATGGCTTCCTTAGGCTTGGGAAGTATTGAACAATTTAATGTAGCAGCGGCGGAAACATGGACTGTGTACATACAACGGGTCAATTTTTATTTGGAAGCAAATGGAATAACGGATGCGAATAAGAAACGTGCGGTTTTTTTAAGCATTTGTGGTGACCAAACTTTTCAGATAGCGCGAAGTTTGTGTATACCAAATGAATTGGCCGACACTACTTTCGACCGCATTATTGATTTGTTGACTACCCATTTTAATCCTAAACAATCGGAAATCATACAGAGGTTTTTATTTAATCGAAGGCATCAAAAAGAGGGTGAATCAATTTCCGCGTGGGTTGCCGAACTTCGCAAAATTGGTAGTTTGTGCAATTATGGCAATGATCTTGAAAACCAAATTCGAGACCGTATCGTGTGTGGTGCGCGAGATGAATCGCTTCAGCGACGCTTATTGACGGAAGCAAAATTGACGTTTCAAATGGCATTTGATACAGCGATAGCGGCCGAAAATGCAGCCTGCCAGCTAGGGGAACTTCGAAGAACTCCAGATAGTGCTACTATTAACAAAATGGAACATTCTAAGGAGTTGAATGCCACAAAATGTTGGAGGTGCACAGCTAATCATGACCCATTGACGTGTCGTTGGAAGGATGCTGAGTGCAGATTCTGTTCAAAGAAGGGGCATTTAGAGCGTGCTTGCTTGATGAAGAAGAATCGTGCTAAAGAAACAAGCGGAAATAAAAGGGTAGGTAAAATCAATAAAGCAAATAAGAGCGGACAATATTTAGTTAAATCAAATGTTAGTACTGACAGCGATGTATCCGACGACGATACTGTTCCAGGACTTCACAATATCGGTCGAGGTGAAGTGCCATATCGGGTTTTGTTATCTGTTAATGACAGGGAATGTGAATTTGAAGTAGATTCGGGTGCTAGTTTTACAGTGATGTACAATCATGTTTTGAAAAACTATTCCCCCATAACAAACCGCGATTAAAGGATACTAAATTAACTTTACGGGACTGGCAAAAGAAGGACATTGGGATTCTGGGCGAATGCTTGGTGCGCGTAGTATTTAATAAACATGTTAAGAATTTGCCATTAGTAGTGACGAAGGGCGATAACATTAGTTTATTAGGACGAAATTGGTTCGCAGAGTTAGGTATCAGACTGTCAATGAACTCTGTATCGGTGGTGGACATTAAACTAGAGAAGGTTTTACAAAAGTATAGTGAGGTGTTCAATAACAGTCTCGGTACTTTTCGAGGGCTACCGGTAAATCTCCAAGTAGATCCTTCAATACGACCCATTCGTTTAAAGGCGCGTAATGTGGCTTTTGCACTACGGCCCAAAATTGATGCGGAAATTGAAAGACTAATAGGACAGGGGATTTTGAAACCGTGTGATAACCCTACATGGACGACACCAATAGTGCCGGTAGTAAAGGGAGATGGAACTATTAGGATTTGTGCCGACTATAAATGTACACTTAATCGGGCTCTTCAGGATGATCCATACCCGATGACGTCTACTCAAGAAATCTTAACTGCGTTGAATGGAGCTAAGGTATTCGCAAAATTGGATATGGCTCAGGCATATCAACAATTAAAGGTGGATGAGGATTCAGCAAAGTTACAGACCATAATCACTCAGAGAGGTACCTATACGGTCCACAGACTCTGTTTCGGAATCAAGGTGGCACCGCAGATCTTTCAACGTTTCATTAACAATCGTTTGGCAGGAATTCCGGGATGTTTTCCATACTTCGATGACATTTTGGTTGCCGCGGAAAACGATGAGGAACTGTGTGAAAGGATCGAAGAAATTTTACGCCGATTTGCAGAAGATGGACTGAAACTAAAGAAATCTAAATGTGTTTTTAGGACTACGGGCATTGAATTTTTGGGATTTTTCATCAACGCAAAGGGAGTACGTCCTACGGTTGACAAAGTTCAAGATATTAAAAATGCGCCTATACCATCTTGCAAACGGGAATTACAATCATTTCTGGGATTGTTAAATTTCTATCACGGATTCCTAAAAAATAAAGCGAATGTTGCTGAATGCTTGCATCGACTTCTGGACAAGAACGTTCCGTGGAAGTGGACAAGAAGACACCAACAAGCATTTGAAAAGGTCAAGGAGTTGCTCTCGTCGGAACAATTGCTGGTTCACTATGACCCAAAGAAAACTTTAAGACTTTCGTGCGATGCTTCTCCTTGGGCAATTGGAGTAGTACTGAGTCATGTGGAAGAAGATGGTAGGGAAGCTCCCATCGCGTTTCATTCAAAAACATTAAACCAGACAGAGCGCAGGTACAGCCAATTGGACAAGGAAGCTCTGGCAATAATTGCGGGAGTTAAAAAGTTTCATAATTATTGCTATGGACGGAAATTTGACATCATTACGGACCACAAGCCGCTTCTAGGAATATTGAGCGAGAACATTCAGGTTCCACAGATGTCATCTCCGAGATTAGTGCGCTGGGCATTATTTCTTAGTAATTATAATTATTCGCTAATACATAGGCCAGGTAAAGACATAAGTCACGCGGATGCTCTGAGCCGCATACCATTGTCTACAGAAGTTGATCTCGGCGGTGTAGAACATATTGGCGAAGTACTCATGATGGAGAATATGCCCGAAATACCTTTAAACGACGAGAAAGTTGCAGAATTAACAGGAAGAGATCCAGTTCTTAGCAGGATCCGGGAGTTTATACAATTGGGCTGGCCGAATAAGTTGGAAGAGGGATTAGCGGAAGATGAAGTACGTCCTTTCAAGGTTAGAAAGAATGAGTTATCAATTTACAAGAATTGCATACTATGGGGTACGAGAGTAGTGATTCCGCCGAAAATCCAGGAACGAGTGCTGAGAGTTCTTCATGGGGCACACATAGGAGTAGTAAGAATGAAGGCACTGGCAAGATCCTATGTTTGGTGGCCGTCAATAGATCAAGCCATTGAAAGTGCTGTAAGACAATGCCAAGAGTGCCAATTACAAATGAAGATGCCTGCTAAAGCAGCTATACACCCATGGGAATGGAGTGAGATTCCTTGGAGTCGAATACATATAGACCACGCAGGACCATTTTGTGGACAACAATTTTTAATTATTGTTGACTCTTATAGTAAATGGTTAGAGGTAAAAAGAGTTCCGTCTACATCATCTAAATGCACCATTCAAGCATTACGTGGAATTTTCGCAACTCATGGAATTCCAGAGGTAATTGTAAGTGACAATGGAAGTTCGTTTACGTCAGAAGAGTTCGAATGTTGGGCTAAGAAGAATGGAATCCGACATACTCGAGTTTCACCATACCACCCAGCGTCAAATGGCCAAGCGGAAAGAATGGTACAAGAAACCAAAAGAACTTTAAAGAAACTGAGTACGGGAGATTGGGAAGTAAAAATCGCTCGATTTTTGATAACCCAAC